TCATTTTATTATTATAATTATCATTGTTATGTTTACTTATTTAATTATTCATTCCTGTATTTTATCTATTTTTCCGCTTGTTTATTCATGTATGTATTTATTTATTTATTTATTTATTTATTTAGTTATTTATTTATTTATTTTACGTTTATTTGTTTTGTCAATTGTTTGGTCGTATCTTTATGTATTCATTTATCTATCTATCTATCTATCTATCTATCTATCTATCTGTCTAATCTACCTGTCTATCTATCTAATCTAATCTATCTATCTATCTATCTATCTATCTATCTATCTATCTATCTATCTATCTATCTATCTATCTATCTATCTATCTATCTATCTATCTATCTATCTATCTATCTATCTATCTATCTATGTATCTATGTATCTATGTATCTATGTATCTATCTATCCATCTATCTATCTAACTAACTAACTAACTAACTAACTAACTAACTAATCTATCTCTCTATTTGTCTGTCTGTTTGTCTATCTATCTATCTATCTATCTATCTATCTAGCTATCTTATATATCTATCTATCTATCTATCTATCCATCCATCCATCCATCCATCCATCCATCCATCCATCCATCCATCCATCCATCCATCCATCCATCCATCCATCCATCCATCCATCCATCCATCCATGTAATCCATCTATTTGTATATCTTTCTATCTATCTAACTAACCTATCTATTTATCTATCCATCTATCTATGTGTATCTATGTATCTGTGTATCTATCTATCTATCCATCCATCCATCCATCCATCCATCCATCCATCCATCCATCCATCTATCTATCTATTTATCTCTTTGTCTCTCTTTCTCTCTCTATCTATCTCTCTATCTATTTGTGTATCTGTCTATCTATCTATCCATCTATTCTAATCTATCTATCAATTCTAACGTAAATCTATATCTAATCTAATCTAAGCTAATCCAAGCTAATCAAATCAATTCAAATCAAATCTAGCTATGTATCTATCTATCTATCTATCTATCTATCTATCTATCTGTTTGTCCGTCTAATCTATCTATCCATCTATCTATCCATCTATCTATCTATCATATCTATCTATCTATCTATCTATCTGTCTGTCTGTCTGCCTGTCTAATCTATCTATCTATCTATCTATCTATCTATCTAATCTAATCTAATCTAATCTAATCTAATCTAATCTAATCTAATGTAATGTAATCTATCTATCTATCTATCTATCTATCTAATCTAATCTAATCTAATCTAATGTATCTATCTACCTACCTACCTACCTATATATGTATCTATCTATCTATCTATCTATCTACCTATCTATCTATCTATCTATCTATCTAATCTAATTATTCATCTATTTATCTCTCTATTTGTCTATTCTAACCTATCTATCAAAGCTAATCTAAATCCAAACTGAATCTAATCTAAATCTAATCTAAATGTAATCTAATCTAAATCTAATCTAATTTAATTTACTAATCTGATCTAATCTAATCTATCTATCTATCTATCCATCCATCTACGTATCTATCTATCTATCTACCTATCTAACCTAACCTAACCTAGTCTAGTCTAATCTAATCTAATCTAGTCAATCGAATCCATCTACATATCAATTTATCTATCTATCTGTTCAATTTCATTGTTTGTTTCTTTTTTGCGTGCTTGCGTGCTTGCTGTTTTTTTGTTTTTGTTTTGTTTTTGTTTTGTTTTTGTTTGTTTGATTGTTTTGGGATGTCATTTTTTTCCAACTCCATTTCCATGCCATGCCATTCCATTCTATTCCGAGCTCAAAGTTAAGGAGACGCTATGGGCGGCTGCCTCTTCATCGACGAGGCCGGGGCCTCACTTGAATGCAAGCTGGGCTGGGGCTGGGATGCCGAGCCATGGGGCACTTTGCCAAATTCCGGATCTGTTGGCGACAGCATGTTGTTGGATGCAAGCGGCAGCCAACGTGGCTTCTGCAAGCCACCAATTGTTCAATGGGTGCATGGATGCTGTAATGTGGCTTCTTGACTCTGACAGCGCGACACCAATGCCAATTCTGTGCCGCGAAAAGTGAGCTTATAAGCTTGTCAGCCAATCTGACCGAGAGTGGTCCGCTTCGTTGCCGGGAGGGGACATGGAGCATCCGAGGGTTTGGGGGACATCCTTTCTGTTTGTCCAGTTTGAAGTTTGCTGAGGCAAAATGGCACTGCTTCATTTTTGCTTCTGCCCTCCCTCCAATCATGGAAGCTGGCAGGAGGGTTCTGGAAGAAGACTTTCCTTTTGGCAAACACTTCCTTAAAATACGGCGTGTCTTCTTTTAGGGCACCTCCAATATCGTGGTTTTCCTCTTGCTCCCCCTTGAAAACCACAAAAGATGGGGTAGCCTCAACAAGGGCACACCCATTGCCTATACCCAGTGCCACGCGTTCCTCGGGAAGAAGGCGAAACGCCAAAACCGCCAAATGGCCGTGAGGCCTACGCGCTGGCGGACCGGGGCGGCGACAAGTTCAGCGGCGAGGTGATCCGCACGCTGCTCACGGAGGTGGAGAACCACCGCACGGGGCTGCTGGTGCCTTCGGCAGGGGGGGGCGGGGGTTCCCTAGGTGTTGGGTAGGTTTCATTCGGTTTGGCTTTGAAGCTTTGGTACTCACAGATGCCCCCTTCCAACAAACCCTCCACAAGACTTCAGACTTCAAGAGGTTTACGATACTGAACCGCAAAGCGTGCCCGACTGAAGCCCGGAAATCCGCAGAAGAGCTTGAAGAGCTCCCAATAGTTGCGCTGAAAGTCTCATCCTTTGGCTGTATCTCCTAGCTTTGCGATGGCGGTGACATGGATGGAAAGCGTAAAAGGGGCCCCTGCCTCTCAATTCAATGGAGGCTGCGGCGTGCTGGTTCCTTTGAACATGGCAGCTTCCGAGACCTCATGCAGGAATCGAGCTCTTCAGTTGGTTATTCAGGCATTTTTGTGCTTGTCTTCCCCTGCTAGTCAATTTTGCGCCATTTCAGGGTTGCCACGCCGCCACGCCTTTCACCCATGACGAAAGAAGGCGCATTGAGGTGAAAGCTTGCAGTTGGGGTTGCATTTGCCCGTTTTGGCAGCCGAGGTGGTACTGGCTGGCTATGCGGACAAGATGGATGCCACTTGGGCAGTTTTCCAGGGAGTCCATTCGCATGATCGCCTTGCCCTACCGGCATAGGGGAAGTCTTTCGAGCAGTGGCTTTTGGTGATTCTGCAGGGTTGTTGCTAGTCACTGCTTGTGAGAGTTGCTAGCCAAAGAAACACAAATGGATTCCGTTGAAAAGGTCCACGGGTCTTTATTAAGGTCAATAGCAAGCAGTTACAAGACATACCACGTGAGACGAAATGCAAGCTAGCACCAGACAGAAGAGCATTGGGTGCTGTCTACAAAGCTTCCATGGATATGTAGAAAGCGAGGCATTGCCCAGGCACTTTTACTCAAGAAATGTCGTCCTTCAGCTATGCTTGACAAACAGTTTCTTGTGGCATATCCTGCCCAGCTGTGCCCATTTTGGACTAGCAGGCCCTGGCTCGTGGAAGGCCCGGCAGCACGCTTCGGCTCTGCCGGTGTTCTGCCAAGCGACGAAGCGTGGGCGTTTGACTCGAAGGGAGGTGGCCTTTCAAGACGGGTGGCCTTATGACCTTGAGCGACCTTGACATGTCGTGGCCTTTGCAATTGTCATGGTACTTCGGGTCGTCGTGTGGCGAGACTCGCTTGAACTACAGAGGTGCGAATCCAACCCAGAGGCACTCAGTTTTGACATTTCACCTTGGGCGAAGTCACTTCAAGAGGATGAGAGGGGGGGCGCTCAGCCGCTCAGCCGATGGCCGGCGACGTGTCAAAACCGAGCTGAGGTGCTCATGGATTCGGATCCCGGCTTGCGGCGCCGCTTCTCGCTGGTGCTGCAGCTGGAAGACTACACCGCGGAGGAGCTTGCGGAGATTTGCGCCTTGGACAAGCTCCAGGCGGCTGTGTGCAAAGAATTTTTGGGGCATGCGTGTCTTCGAGACGGCTGGAGTGTTCACGTTTGTGAGTTTGGTTTTGGCTTGGACTTCTTTTTGGTCCCTGGACCCCCCTTCCAATGCGACTGTGCAGATGGCAAACGGTTTGGAGCCACCTGGGGCAAAGCGGGGCGCTTCTATTCGTTTAGGACGCTTGAGTTGTAAGCCGTGCGGGCGACACTTTCAGAGCGTTTGATACTTCCACCAAGGAGCCCGTACCTTTCGGAGGGTGCAGCAAATCGGCTGCCGTAAGTTCCAATGAGAAATTGCGCCTGGATCCAGGCATCAGGTAGGCGTGTCCACTTCCTTGATTGGAAAATGGCACTCGTTGGAGACAATCCTCATGTATGTCTCTGTACTTCCATTTACTTAAGAAGATGTTTTTTTCTTCTGTTGGTTTTAAAGGGAATCTATCACTACTGGACATCTATTTTCTTTTCTCAGGCTGAAAGGGGGGCGTGGGGGGGCAAGGCGGGAGGGGGCGCGCGCCTCTGAGGTGAGCATGCCGCGCAGGACTGCGCTTGGGGTCGCCTGGGGCAGGTGGTCTGAGGTGTGGCCCTTGGAATGCCCCGAACAGGACTTGTACTGTATGCGCTGTATGCATATAGGTTCCACACCTGTTTGTTTGTATGAATATATCTATATCTATATATATATATATATGTATAGGTGTAAAGATATGCATATAGATGTATAGATATGTATATAGATGTATGACAATGTATATGCATGCTTGCCGGCACTTGGGTGTGGGATCTTGGCTTTGCATTTGCCGGTGCAAGCTCTATGCTCCCCTTCTGGTTGATTCAGACATCGCCTTTCTAGGTGGGGTGGTGTTTAAGGGAGACAAATGCCCCGTTTTACGTCAATTTCTGAGCACCCGATACTGCGTTTTGTTGCCCCCGCAGTTTCGAATGTTATGCCGAAACTGGTGAGACAACTACGCCGCCGAAAGCCCTGAAATGGCAACAAAGCAGACTCTTGACACGCGAAAAGCTAGTGGCTCAAACGCCTGTAAGAACGCGCACGCTGTCAGACACGTTGCCCACGTCCTTCCCCCATCAAAAACTCACGGGTGAGGTTCTGAAATGAAAGGACCGCTTCAACCTGGCCTTTGCCCCTGGGCTGCGGGACCAGCTGGGGCGCCACATCAAGACGGCCCACGGTCAGGAGATCTCGCAGCACAACGGAGGTGTCGATCCGATCCGATCGGATCCGAGGGGACGGAGGGGACGGGGGGGGGTCGAAGGTTGGGGCCTCTTGCAAAACGACTTGTCGGGGTTGAGGGTGGGGAAAGATGTCGAACTGGTGTTCAACTGGGGTTTTACAATCTAAGGCCCAACAAATATGGGCAGGAATCAAGCATATTCGTTTTGGTTGGGAGGGAGGCGGGTTGATGTAGGGAAGTTAAACCTGTTTGATTTGCTGCTAACTTGGTTCGGAGTGCAGCAGTTGATCTATATAGAGGGTTTCTTTGAGAAACAAGCGATGCGCGCAGTGATGTGCAGAGACTTTGGCGTGGTATTTTGCTTGCAGAAGATATGCCGCTTTGCCTTCTTGGTTTCCAAGGCAACGCTGGGGTGGATATCTTGACTCGTGACTAGGACGATGCCGAATGAACAAGTTTCGAGTTTCTGACTTGGCTTGCCAAGGGAGGCAACGAATCAGATATGACTACAGGCGGCAAGAGGTGGTGGGGCCGCTTGTTGAAAGTGCAATCGCATCGTTGTTCCGGAGTGCGTTTTGGACTGCCCAAGTCCAGGTATTCAACTCAAACCTGTAGCCTCTTTGCACGACGGCCGTTCTTAGGGTACAAGATCCCGCGGTGACAGCCAGATGGCTTCTCCCGTTTTTTTCGTTCGTTTTTTTCCTTCTACGGCTTTATCCATCTTTGGGATGGATTGTGTCCATCAACGGGCTGTGTCCATCCACCGGGTTTTTGGTTGGCCGAGCCCCCGGCCGCTTTGGGCCGTTTTTTTTTGGGAGGCCTGGCAGTGACCTTGGCGGAGCGGGCCTTCCGGCGCCTGGCGACGCGGCTGGGGGACCCCAACAGCGGGGAGGCGGTGAGCAGCGGGCGGGAGCTGACGCTCGGCCAAGGGGGTGGGGAGGGGGGGGGGCTGGGGAGCGGGGGGGGAGGCGTTGTCCCCTTTGAGGGCACACCGGAATGAGGTGGGGGGTTTCCTGCGCATTTCGATGCCAAAGCGGGCACGCTCAAGAAGCTCCTGAAGTCGGTGATCACGTCAACAGTGGACTGGCCCTTGCACTTCTTCAAAGGCACCGCTCACCTGACCAGGAAAGAGTGGACGAAAGGGTTTCAGGCGAACTGCCACTATCTGCCGCTAAAGCCTTACAAACAAGGAATGCAGACGCAATCCGGGCCTCTCTGAAGGGACAGCGGATTTGCTTGGGGGAGAGTTTGATCTTTTCAGCCTGACACTTCCCTTGCCCTTCCTCTTTTAGAAGCCGACCTCGGTGGATTGCAACAAAACCAAGCGCATCGCCCTGAGGATTGCAGAGGACTTCCTCATCGGCGTGGCCCCTGCGCGCCCGCCCGCGCCGCCCAAGGCCGCAACTGGCGCAGGCTGGGCCTGGGAAGCGGGGCCAGGGGAAGCGGCCAGGAAGGCCAAGGGAAGCGGCCAGGGCTGGGGATTCCTTAGCTCCGGTTTGTGAAGCTGTAGTATTTTGTGGTGGCTGGACAGAATGCGCAAGTCGGCCGACATCAATTGGCAAGGCTTACGGGACCTCGCATCCGTTCAGAGGTGTAAAATAGCAGACAACAAGGCGAGGCGCTGGTACCAGAACGCTTCGAGCCGTTGATGCCACATAGTTTGTGGGACCCGGCTTGAGGAGGCCTTGCAGCGAAGCACAGCAAAAGCACAGCCGCGCTCGGTTGATTTCAGCTCCTTCTAGCAACAGTTGATCAGAAAGGCACCCATATGTCACCAAGAACCGACATGCCTGAATGATGGCAAGTGCTTTCAAAGCCAAGCACCGATGAGCGCCCGATGCTCCTCTCGTCTCATTTTGCCGCACCGACCTTGCAGGCGAAAGCACGCAGCGGAGCCGCCCGCCCAAGAGGGGCAGACCAGCGTGGGAGGCCCGGAGCAAATCGTGGCGTCAATTCGGTGTTTGCTGGCTCTGACGGCATTTGGATCTCCAACTGGAGGGTCAGTCGCACCCAAAACACTCCCCCGCGACGTGGCCCTTTGACAGGCGGTGAGTGTACTGGCGCGGGAGATGGCGCAGGAACTGATGAAGGGCATGGAGTCTGCGGGGAAGCCCAAAGTCAGGTATATCCTGACATTGCCTCTGCCACTTACTTTCCCGTATGCGGGTTGTCTTTGCTCTCTCTCTGCCACTTTCTGGGCTGCCGAAGGAATGAAGTTCTCATCAATTTTGCAGGAAGATGTTCGTGAAGGGCTGGCACTTTGCTCCTGCGATTTGATCATCGAGTGGTTGGCGCAAAAGTTCACAGGTGGCAGGCCCCGTGTTCCAGAAAATCGAATTGCCCGAGGTCCCCAGCCGCGTGCCGTCGAAAACCACCCCGGCTTCCGAGGCCATGAAAGACGAGGACCCTTTGGATGAAGATATGCCCGGAGGGGCTGCTCCTTCCAGGGACGACCACGTCAAGGTGGGACTGGGAAGGGGTGGAGGGGTGACTCTTCAGCCACGGCGCGGCTTCTTTGCCAAATGGCCGTGGGTCATAACCTATGCCTCCATTTTGGGGCGGATGAACACCCATGTGCCACCTATTTTGATGCTCACCAGGGGTACAGGATTTTGACCCACAGCCAAATGGGCGCAGACACGTGCTTGCGGCCCTTCAATTATACTCCTTTGCTTGATGTATCGCGTTGCTTCGAGCGTGACACCTTCAGAATTCCGCATCCAGTCAGCCCCAGGCCGTGGTGAAGGCCCTGGCAAAGGGCAAGGACCGGGAGAGGCCCAAAGAGGAGGTCAAGGAGGAAGAGACGCTCGGCAAGGGCGAAAGAGGGGATGTCGGGGTTCCTTTCAGAGGCCTTGGCCTTTTCAACCCCTTCTGGATTTGATGATTCAGCTTGATAAACTTCGTGGAGTATGACCTGAAGCGGGTTGCCTTGCGAGGGCGCATGCCCCTTCCCCCCTCAAGTGTGGATGCTTGTCGGGCCTGGCTGTGGCTTCGCCAAGCCACAATCTCGTGAGTTAGAACTTGACTTGAGCGCTTCCGACTTCCCCTTTTTTGCATCGCGGACGCTGCGCTTCATGCGCAATCAAAGGGTGATGATGAGGGCCCCCAACCCAATTCTCATCAATACACCCATTCGTATAAACTGGATGATCATGGTCCATAAACGGGCCAGCTGGGCCAGATCAGGAACCAAGACAAGAGACCCGCGTTCTTGTATTCCTCTCTCCCCCTCTCTCTCTCTCTCCTCTCCTCCCCTCCCCTCCCCTCCCCTCCCCTCCCCTCCCCTCTTCTCTTCTCTTCTCTTCTCTTCTCTTCTCTTCTCTTCTCTTCTCTTCTCTTCCTCTTCTCTTCCTCTTCTCTTCCTCTTCTCTTCCTCTTCTCTTCCTCTTCTCTTCTCTTCTCTTCTCTCTCTCTCTCTCTCTCTCTCTCTCTCTCGCTCTCGCTCTCTCTCTCTCTCTCTCTCTCTCTCTCTCTCTCTCTCTCTCTCTCTCTCCCTCTCCCTCTTCTCATTTTGCAAGAGTTGATTTCCTCATGCAAGAGCGTGCTTGAATAGGGGCGTTCCATTCTAATTCCTCACTCGCGGTTTTGATGCATCTTTGTGGTTCTGTGATGCATTGGGGGTTTGCTGTGTGGCCAGCATGTTTCGTTGCCGGTCCCATTGGCTACTCGCAATGACTGCAATGCCCCCCCCCCCCAAGGAGGTCCAAATCCATCACACAAGCCGATTTCAGAAGTTGCAAGTGGCAGCTTCCCACAACTCCCCTTTCAGAACAACAGCCCTGCGAAATCCTGAAGGTTCCTACCCTCCTTTCGAGGCCGCTTCTGCCCTTTTGGCCGCGCTTAAATTTCTCAGGCAGGTGCCCCAGCAGGAGGGGGAGAAGGTGGTGGAGGAGATGTCCACGCTGGACGCCTTGGAGTGCTTGGGTGTCTGCCCGGCCAACTTCGAGTGGTTCGAGCTCAATGCGCCTCCGGCAAAAGGCGAAAAGCGGCGGGGGCGGCGGGAGCGGCGTTTTGGGGGAAGCTTTTTAGTTTTTTTTTTTGCCAAAGGTCTGGGCTTTTAGACGTTTTTTTTTCTTGCGAAAGGTCTGGGCTTAAGGAGGCTTTCATGGTTGTTGTTGGGAAACAATTCGAATTTTTGCTTGTTGTGGTCCAGTGAGAAATCCCCACTTAGCTGCTAGAAAATAAATCTTGCTCCCCTTCCGACGTCAACCAAGCTTTGCTTGAGGTTTGTTTGGGAAGGTTGTGTGGGGAAAGTGGGCCTGACGGGCCTTGGCCCCATCAGATTCTGGCCACATAGGGGTATGGTTGGTCCACAGGTGCCGTTTGCTCATTTTGTTTTGTGGATCCTACCTTTATCCCCCCCCCCATTGACAAGGCGCATGCTTTTTTCTTTTTTTAGACTTGCTGCCATGACGTTCCTGGTTTGTTCAGCTGGACTGCCAGCACCTGCCGTTACATCCTGGGACGTTTTCCGCTTCCGGCAATTTCGACCTTTCTGGTTCACAAATTGGGGGGAACTTTCCTAAGAGGACTTGTTTCCAGCCTGGTGAAAAGACAGCGGGCGCCCTCCCTCGGAACGTGGCAAACTGCTTCGCCGGAGTGATTTTGTGATTTTTGTTTAGGGCCTTTTCCCATGTTTCAGGTAACCCGTCAGGTTGGGGACTGGGATTTGAAGCCCTGGCTTTTGTCAAGGGAAACTGGGAAACAACCCTCAAGCACCAAACCACCGAGCTCCAAACCACCAATTCCATGGAAGCCGAGCAGTGTGTGATCTGTGGCCGGGAAGCGGCGCGCACGGAGCCTTGAGTTGCAGAAAGGGCGCGTGCAGTTGAGCACCAAACCTGTTTCGGCGACGTGACTCAGGGGTGCCACGAATTCTGATGCATTTGTTGTGGCTTTGGGATAGTTGCTGGAAATGGAATCCCGCAGCTGCTTTTGCTGTAGTGTTTGCTCATGCTTCTGCTAACTAGAGTTCACAAGCCGCAGAAGTTGTACAACGCAGCATGTCATGGATTGCGGCTTGTTTTTAGCGCTGAGTGGACTCAAGTTCCTTGTTCTCGTGTCACTCGCAGCAGCCGGTGTTTCACCAAGGTGGCAGACCCGCCAGACTCTAACTGCGGCATCTGCGGGTACCGCCTTGCGGACGGGTATCGCTGCGGGGGCGGTACCCACTACGTGTGCATGGGCTGCATTGACGCGTACAAGACGCGTGCAACGTGACCGTTCCAAGCAGCTGCAGCCAGGCAGGAGGAACAGGAGAGAAGGATCCTGGGGCGCCTGCCTTCTTGTTGATCAAATGGCCCTGGCTGAAAGCGCACTGCTGTCATTGCCATGTCTCCCATGTCTTGTTTTCCTCCTCCGCTGACAGGTGCAGGGCCAGCAGCTTGCAGTGATCTCCGTGGGCCATCGATTGCAACCGAAAAACGTGTCGCGGTCGCCATGTCGCGCTGTCGCATCGGATGTTTGGGAGCCTTGGGTCGTCATCGGGTGGGAGGTCAAGAAGCGCGGCGTTCGGGAAGCTGAAGCATGGCAGGTGGCAGACGGTGCAAGAACCCTGTGTTTTTGGAGGAAGGGGTAGGGAGGTGATAGAACTTTTGATCCAGGAATTCAAATCAGCACAAACCATTACGACATGACCGCTGCAAGGTTGAGCATGGACCAGCTACGAACGTGTAAAAGCTTTGCGACCTCGCTTTGGATTCCTGTTCAAAGGGAGCAACCAGCCCTCATAGGAAGGATTCTAGATTCTAGGCTTTTATATTCACAGCACAATGCAGGGTAAGCTCGCGCATTGAAGCGTCACAGAAACATGCAGGGCATTGCGGGCCTGACAGTCTCAATGGGGGTTGAAGTGTATGTTGTTGTTTCCCCCATTTTTTCTTTTTGATCTTTTTTGAGTTTGTCATTAGGAGTGCTGTTCTTGGGTGCTCTTTTTTCGCGTTTTATTCATGGATTCCTGCCTGGAAGTCCTGTCGCCCGTTCTGAACAGTAAACCCCCAAAGCTTGAGGCACCGTAGACGCTAGCGGGTGCCAGAGGCGCTTCGATGCATTTGGCATGGCTGCACGGCATCCGTACCATCCATACCTTCGGCCCCAGGTGCTGTTTCAAGTAGGGGGGGCCTCCGGAAGTGCCCAAACAGATTGGCAACGCCAGATCGGGAACCTGTTCGGCGTTGTCTCTTTTCTTTTCCGGAGGCCGCTCTGACGGGCGGCCGGGTGCGCAAGAAGCGCGAACTGGTCGCCCAGGGCGCGAAAAAAATCCCAGGAGCGCGCGTAGCCATAGGACACACCACCCGAGTGTGGCACGTGGACACGTGTTGAGAGTGATCTTATCCCTTGATGCAGGCCCCGGGGGGGGGGGTCGCGAGCGAGTGACTTGTTTTGAGGGGGGGCTGCTGTTGGCTGCTGCTTGCGGCACGAGAGCCGGCCGGAGTCATGGGGCCCCAACTCGCTGGGAAGGAATCGGCCGGGGCTTGGCGTTTTGCTCCAGGCTTTGCAGTTCAAGATGTGTCAATGGCGGTCTTGGGAGCCACCTGCCTGTCTGCCTCCGGTGTTCTCCAGGCTCGATGGTGGCTGCCTCTGCTTTTGCTGGGCGCCGCCTGTTCCTGGCTTGTCGCGTGGCACGAAGGGCGGCACCCGCTTGAATCCACTGAAAGAGGGCTGTTCTGGGTGGCCAAGTTATGCCTGTTATGCCTTCAGGCCTCGCAATCCGCGGGTGTGAAAAAAAATACCTCAGGCTCACCAAGACAAAGGAAAGGACGGACAGATTCTTTGGGCAGAATCGTTGCCCACAAGGCGGGTAGGGTAAATTCTGTCCCCTGACGGTGGTGACCCACTCAGGGGAGGCCGCTTTTTCCAGGCGGCATGGGAACAAAGGGTGTTGCCTCTCAGCCTGAGGCCTATACCGTGCCGAAGGAGCCGGCTGCCTCGCATTGTGAGTTGGCCACTGGTGTGGCAGAGGCGATTCAGCCTGTAGGAAGGCATTTCGGGCGTGGGCATCACATTTGGGCGAGGGTTGAAGAGCATGTGGACAGCGGCCCAGAAGCTGGGAATCGGGTAGGCAAAAAAGTGACACCAGAGTCCGCTTGATGCTAGCCTGTGCCAAAGAAAATAGATGCGAACGATACTCCCACCATGCAGGAGACGGCAGTTGAGGAGCTTCCTCTGGAAGAGGAGGGGAATCCGTTCCGGGGTGTGGGGACGTGGGCAGAACACCCTCACTAGGTGGCAGGATTCTGATGGCGTTGGGACAAGATGATCTCTCAAGCAGATTGATCAGGGTGAATTCTCATCTCTCTTCTTGTCCACTGGTTCTTGCTGAGAAGTCAGAAGATCTCTGCAAAACAACACCAAACGCCGACAAATGTATGAGAGGGAGCACGTGGCCACCCCAAACACTCAATTTTAGAAATGAACAAAGGGTACCCAATTGTGCAACTGGTTTTTAGGCCGAAAAACAAACATAAACTAAGCCAATACTAAACCAATACAATCCAATACAGAACTAAGGCAGCACAAAGCAATACTAAACCAAGACTAAACCAATTCTATACAGTACTGGGCCAGCTCAAGGAAATCTCAGACTCAACCACTTCTAAACTTTTAAACCAGTGCTGGGCAGAGAGAAGCGAAGTGGAAGAGGCCCGAGGGCCGAAGAGGGCCGAAGACGAGCGAAGCAATCAAACAATTCTAGACCAGTACAAAGTACGTACCGAGAGACTTGCGAAGGCCCAACTCTTTCCCCAAATCGATTTAGCGATTTACCGGGTTTCCCTATACGGTCCCCAAAAGTTGTTGGAGGGCGGGGGGGCCTCAATGGAAATAATACAGCGACCAACCAAAAGGGAGGTCCACCATTAAGGACCAGATGTTGGAAACACGGCGGTTTTCTCATTCTTTCTCCCTTGAATTGGCTTGTGACAGCCACACGCTTCAGGAGCAGAACGACCTGGAGCTGAGTAGGAGGCTGCAGGTGGCGACGACGACGACCGTGACTAGTACCACAAGCCCCTTTGCCTGTGTTGGGGGTGGGCGGCAGCTGCGTGTTGCTCTGTGGCCGTTTCACCCTGGTGCTGCAATTCACCCAGAAACAGTGAGTTTCAAGAATCTAAGCCTTTGGAAGATGGTGTCTGTGGTGGGGGTGTCTGTAGGAGTACGGAAGCAGTGACAGTGGCTTGCCTTGGGATGAGTGTAGGAAATCAGGCGAGTAAGTGTTCGTTCTGCAGTAAATCATGGAAGGCGGACATGCTGATCAGTTCCCAAACATGCAAATCCATTGCCCTGCACTCCAGCCGAAACTCCTGCGACAAAGTAAAGGATGTTAGGGCTGAGAACCTTAACATCATTTGTAGAGCCATGAAATGCAACAGATGCCAACCTTGAATCGAGGCACCGCGAAGCGATACATACATACATACATATATATATATATATGTGTGTATATATATATATATATATGATTCCCCCCCCCCCACAAGAAAATCCCCAGGAGCATTGTGCCCTAGCAGTGGAAGGGAAACATTAAGCGAATACCCTTATTGTTGCTCTAGCATTCCTTTAGTATTGTTTTAGTATGCCCCTAGTATTCCCTCAGTGCCCTGGTGTTCCCTGAGCATCATCTGAGAGAAGTCAGACCGATTGAGCTTGAGAGTATTCCCCTAGTATTCTCCTGGTATTCTCCTGGTATTCACCTTTAATTTTGCCATAGTATTCGCTGGGTATGGCCCTATCATTGCTCTAGTATTTCCCGAGTATTCCTTTATCACAGTGTTCTTCTGGTATGCCCCTAGTCTTTCCCACTACTTCCTTTCACAATTCCCTAGTAAAGGAAGGGATTGGGGAACCCCTGTAGTATTACCCACGTATTCCTTAAGTATTCGCTTGGTATACCTGAAATATGCCCGCAGTATTCCCCTGCTATTCCCCTAGTATTCCCCGAGTATTTCCCGAGTATTGCCCTAGTGTATAGTCCTAGTTAGTATTGCCCCAGTATTGCGCCAGTATTACTTTGGTGTTCTCTTGGTCCCTACCCCCCCCTAGCATTCCGTTCACACAAAAAAAAACAACAACTACGTTTACCTCCACGACTTTTTGGTTCGTCTGAAAACCCAGGTTGGTTGATCGATCAAGGGACCTCTCTGGGCTCAGAAAGCGAAAGACAACGCCAAACCAGACTCCCCGAGGGAAAGGCAGCTGGCAGACATTCTCCCACAGGAGTAATTATTGTTTTTTTTCTTTTTCCTGCTCCATTTTTTTTGTCCGGTGTCCAGCTACCTTTCCCTCAGCGAGTCTGTTTTGTTTGTTTTTTCCCCAAGAGCTCAAAGCTTTGGGGTCTCAGGGTCGCTCTGAGGCAAGGTTCCGCAGGGTTCCGCGAGGGTTTCCGCAAATGGGGCGGCTCTGGGGTCTGGGTTCCGCGAGGGGTCTGCAGACGGGGGTTGTGCTGGGATGCCCAAGGGGTGCCTCGAGCTGATATCACCCGAGCTTTTGTTTATTCCTGGTTAAACAGTAGAAACGTCCAGAGCAATTGCCCTTGGACTTGCTTCTTGGTTTGCGCGTTTTTCTCAGACCCTCCAAGAGGCTGAATTCACTGGAAATACAAGTGCACTGCTCTAGTGGTGGGTTTGTGGGGGGGTTATAGTAGATCGCAGGCAGACATTGTCTGGAAAGACGCGCGTTCTGTTGCCCACAAGAGGCCGGCATGATCTCAAAAGCGTATCCCAATGGTCCGCGTCGGATTCAATTTCATTGCCGCAGGCCATTCAGATTGAAGTTTCCAGTGCAAAGTTGATAGTTTTCAACTCCTTGAAGTGCTCGAACTGTTCAAGGAGATTTGTTGTCGGATCCTTAATGCTTTGCTGCCTCCGAACCCTCATCTCCCTGCACTTGGCCCATGCTCGTGACATGTACGCATGGGGCCAAGACCTCGCTACGCGCAGGTTTACTTCTCTAACATGCAATAGGGCGCAACAGGGGTAGCAGAGAGCGATTTCCGAATTGGTTGTCCGGCATTTGCCCAATCTTGCGGGCATGGTGTTTGAACTCGTCTCATCGTCTTTCCAATGATGGAACAACTTGAAGCAATCAAGGGCAGCTGAGGCACCTCAACTAGCAGCAGCAGCTCGAGCTCGACCACTTCGACAAGCAGCTCAAGCAGCAGCACAACCACGAGCACGACATCTACAACCTCCACATCCAGCAGCAGCAGTACATCCAGCAGTTCCACCACCAGCACTTCAAGCAGCACCACTAGCGCCACGAGCACAACAACTACTACCTCCAGCAGCAGCTCAAGCAGCAGCACAACCACGAGCACGACATCTACAACCTCCACATCCAGCAGCAGCAGTACATCCAGCAGTTCCACCACCAGCACTTCAAGCAGCACCACTAGCGCCACAAGCACAACGACTACCACCTCCAGCAGCAGCTCAAGCAGCAGCACAACCACGAGCACGACATCAACAACCTCGACATCCAGCAGCAGCAGCACATCCAGTAGTTCGACCACCAGCACTTCAAGCAGCAGCACTAGTACCACAAGCACATCCAGCACCACCTCCAGCAGCAGCTCAAGCAGCAGCACAACCACCAGCACGACATCTACAACCTCTACATCCAGTACCAGCAGTACATCCAGTAGTTCGACCACCAGCACTTCAAGCAGCAGCACTAGCTCCACAAGCACAACGACTACCACCTCCAGCAGCAGCTCAAGCAGTAGCACAACCACGAGCACGACATCTACAACCTCCACATCCAGCAGCAGCAGTACATCCAGCAGTTCCACCACCAGCACTTCAAGCAGCACCACCAGCGCCACAAGCACAACGACTACCACCTCCAGCACCAGCTCAAGCAGCAGCACAACCACGAGCACGACATCAACAACTTCTACATCCAGCACCAGCACAACCACGAGCACGACATCAACAACCTCTACATCCACCAGCAGCAGTACATCCAGCAGTTCCTCGACCAGCACTTCAAGCAGCAGCACTAGCGCCACAAGCACATCCAGCACCACCTCCAGCAGCAGCTCAAGCAGCAGCACAACCACCAGCACGACATCTACAACCTCTACATCCAGCAGCAGCAGTACATCCAGCAGTTCCACCTCCAGCACTTCAAGCAGTACCACTAGCGCCACGAGCACAACAACTACCACCTCGAGCAGCAGCACCAGCACGAGCACGACAACATCTAGCAGCAGCACGAGCTCGAGCTCGACCAGCAGCACGAGCTCCACATCCTCCAGCACGTCAAGCACGTCCACCACAAGCAGCAGCAGCTCAACCAGCACAAGCTCCACAACATCCACAAGCTCAACAACAACTACCAAGACCACCAGCACCACCACGACAAGTTCAACATCCAGCAGCTCGAGCTCGACCACTTCCACCTCCACCAGCAGCACTTCCACATCATCGAGCTCAAGCACGAGCACCAGCACATCAAGCTCAACAACCAGCAGCACCACCAGCACAAGCACTTCCACAACAAGTTCTTCGAGCAGCACATCCAGCAGCACCAGCACGAGCACGACAACATCTAGCAGCAGCACGAGCTCGAGCTCGACCAGCAGCACGAGCTCCACATCCTCTAGCACGTCAAGCACGTCCACCACAAGCAGCAGCAGTTCAACCAGCACAAGCTCCACAACATCCACAAGCTCAACAACAACTACTAAGACCACCAGCACCACCACGACAAGTTCAACATCCAGCAGCTCGAGCTCGACCACTTCCACCTCCACCAGCAGCACTTCCACATCGTCAAGCTCAAGCACGAGCACCAGCACATCCAGCAGCACCAGCACGAGCACGACAACATCTAGCAGCAGCACGAGCTCGAGCTCGACCAGCAGCACGAGCTCCACATCCTCTAGCACGTCAAGCACGTCCACCACAAGCAGCAGCAGTTCAACCAGCACAAGCTCCACAACATCCACAAGCTCAACAACAACTACTAAGACCACCAGCACCACCACGACAAGTTCAACATCCAGCAGCTCGAGCTCGACCACTTCCACCTCCTCCAGCAGCACTTCCACATCATCGAGCTCAAGCACGAGCACCAGCACATCAAGCTCAACAACCAGCAGCACCACCAGCACAAGCACTTCCACAACAAGTTCTTCAAGCAGTACATCCAGCAGTACCAGCACGAGCACCACAACATCTAGCAGCAGCACAAGCTCGAGCTCGACCAGCAGCACGAGCTCCACATCCTCTAGCACGTCAAGCACGTCCACCACAAGCAGCAGCAGTTCAACCAGCACAAGCTCCACAACATCCACAAGCTCAACAACAACTACTAAGACCACCAGCACAACCACGACAAGTTCAACATCCAGCAGCTCGAGCTCGACCACTTCCACCTCCACCAGCAGCACTTCCACATCGTCGAGCTCAAGCACGAGCACCAGCACATCAAGCTCAACAACCAGCAGCACCACCAGCACAAGCACTTCCACAACAAGTTCTTCGAGCAGCACGTCCAGCAGCACCAGCACGAGCACGACAACATCTAGCAGCAGCACGAGCTCGAGCTCGACCAGCAGCACGAGCTCCACATCCTCTAGCACGTCAAGCACGTCCACCACAAGCAGCAGCAGTTCAACCAGCACAAGCTCCACAACATCCACAAGCTCAACAACAACTACTAAGACCACCAGCACCACCACGACAAGTTCAACATCCAGCAGCTCCAGCTCGACCACTTCCACCTCCACCAGCAGCACTTCCACATCATCGAGCTCAAGCACGAGCACCAGCACATCAAGCTCAACAACCAGCAGCACCACCAGCACAAGCACTTCCACAACAAGTTCTTCAAGCAGTACATCCAGCAGTACCAGCACGAGCACCACAACATCTAGCAGCAGCACAAGCTCGAGCTCGACCAGCAGCACGAGCTCCACATCCTCTAGCACGTCAAGCACGTCCACCACAAGCAGCAGCAGTTCAACCAGCACAAGCTCCACAACATCCACAAGCTCAACAACAACTACTAAGACCACCAGCACCACCACGACAAGTTCAACATCCAGCAGCTCGAGCTCGACCACTTCCACCTCCACCAGCAGCACTTCCACATCGTCGAGCTCAAGCACGAGCACCAGCACATCAAGCTCAACAACCAGCAGCACCACCAGCACAAGCACTTCCACCACAAGTTCTTCGAGCAGCACATCCAGCAGCACTAGCACGAGCACGACAACATCTAGCAGCAGCACGAGCTCGAGCTCGACCAGCAGCACGAGCTCCACATCCTCTAGCACTTCAAGCACGTCCACCAGCAGCAGCAGTACCTCCACAAGTAGCACGAGCAGCACCAGCAGTTCCAGCACCAGCACCACAAAAACTACCAGCAGCACCACGACGACTTCCACATCGAGCAGCTCGAGCTCACGCACTTCCACCTCCACATCATCGAGCTCAAGCACGAGCACCAGCACATCCAGCACATCCTCTTCCAGCACCAGCAGCACAACCACTTCGACCAGCAGCACAAGTTCCACCACAAGCTCCACAACGACCAGCTCAACAAGCTCAAGCTCAACAAGCTCAAGCTCGACAAGCTCAAGCTCAACCAGCAGCAGCAGTACATCCAGCAGTTCAACGTCTTCATCTTCAACCTCCACCTCCACCAGCAGCTCCACATCCAGCAGCACGAGCAGCTCATCTTCAACAACGACCTCCACCACAAAAACAACCAGCAGCACAACCAGCACGTCATCATCATCCAGCAGCACTTCCACAAGTTCAACCACTTCCACCAGCACCAGCACTTCAAGCACTTCATCTTCCAGCACCAGCAGCACCAGCAGTTCCAGCACCAGCACCTCCTCTTCCAGCACGTCCTCCACATCCTCCAGCACGTCAAGCACGTCCACCAGCAGCAGCAGTACCTCCACAAGTAGCACCAGCAGCACCAGCAGTTCCAGCACCAGCACCACAAAAACTACCAGCAGCACCACAACGACTTCCACATCGAGCAGCTCGAGCTCGAGCACTTCCACCTCCACATCATCGAGCTCAAGCACGAGCACCAGCACATCCAGCACATCCTCTTCCAGCACCAGCATCACAACCACTTCGACCAGCAGCACAAGTTCCACCACAAGCTCCACAACGACCAGCTCAACAAGCTCAAGCTCAACAAGCTCAAGCTCAACCAGCAGCAGCAGTACATCCAGCAGTTCAACGTCTTCATCTTCAACCTCCACCTCCACCACCAGCTCCACATCCAGCAGCACGAGCAGCTCATCTTCAACAACGACCTCCACCACAAAAACAACCAGCAGCACAACCAGCACGTCATCATCATCCAGCAGCACTTCCACAAGTTCAACCACTTTCACCAGCACCAGCACTTCAAGCACTTCATCTTCCAGCACCAGCAGCACCAGCAGTTCCAGCACCAGCACCTCCTCTTCCAGCACGTCGTCAACATCCTCCAGCACATCAAGCACCTCCACCAGCAGCAGCAGTACCTCCACAAGTAGCACCAGCAGCACCAGCAGTTCCAGCACCAGCACCACCCAAACTACCAGCAGCACCACGACGACTTCCACATCGAGCAGCTCGAGCTCGAGCACTTCCACCTCCACATCATCGAGCTCAAGCACGAGCACCAGCACATCCAGCACATCCTCTTCCAGCACCAGCATCACAACCACTTCAACCAGCAGCACAAGTTCCACCACAAGCTCCACAACGACCAGCTCAACAAGCTCAAGCTCAACAAGCTCAAGCTCGACAAGCTCAAGCTCAACCAGCAGCAGCAGTACATCCAGCAGTTCAACGTCTTCATCTTCAACCTCCACCTCCACCAGCAGCTCCACATCCAGCAGCACGAGCAGCTCATCTTCAACAACGACCACCACCACAAAAACAACCAGCAGCACAACCAGCACGTCATCATCATCCAGCAGCACTTCCACAAGTTCAACCACTTCCACCAGCACCAGCACTTCAAGCACTTCATCTTCCAGCACCAGCAGCACCAGCAGTTCCAGCACCAGCACCTCCTCTTCCAGCACGTCCTCCACATCCTCCAGCACATCAAGCACCTCCACCAGCAGCAGCAGTACCTCCACAAGTAGCACCAGCAGCACCAGCAGTTCCAGCACCAGCACCTCCTCTTCCAGCACGTCCTCAACATCCTCCAGCACGTCAAGCACGTCCACCAGCAGCAGCAGTACCTCCACAAGCAGCACCAGCAGCACCAGCAGTTCCAGCACCAGCACCTCCTCTTCCAGCACGTCGTCAACATCCTCCAGCACATCAAGCACCTCCACCAGCAGCAGCAGTACCTCCACAAGTAGCACCAGCAGCACCAGCAGTTCCAGCACCAGCACCACCAAAACTACTAGCAGCACCACGACGACTTCCACATCGAGCAGCTCGAGCTCGACCACTTCGTCATCCACAAGCAGCACAACGTCAAGCAGCACAAGCACATCAAGCAGTAGCTCGAGCTCAACTTCCAGCAGCAGTACCAGTAGCACTAGCACTTCAACATCAACTTCTAGCAGTAGCTCAACCAGCACAAGCTCGAGTTCTACCACCCTGTCCACCAGTACTTCAACCAGCACTTCGACTAGCTCCTCCAGCACCAGCAGCACCAGCACCAGCTTCTAGTCGGTTGATTAGACCCTTTGCACATGGCATGGCTCTGTGTTTCTGAAAGGTTTCTCGTTTTGAAGTGATGGTCATCCTTGGTTTCAGGCCAACCCAAAATTCCTTGAAGAAATCTGCAATTACGAGATCGGGATGGAGCAGGTCCCCACATGTTTTTTCTCCAAAGGCTTGCTGGTTGCAGCGGCACGCTCCATGTTTCCTTGCCTGTCGTAGGCAGCAAATTGCAGGGAGTTGGCCTTGTCGAAGGGGTCGCCCCGTTTATGGCCTGCGTGGGAAAACCGTGGCAGGTCAAGTCTCGTCGCCTCTATGCGACGAGGGTCCTAAAAGTGGAAGATGTGCGAAAATGGGCGGTTCGTCTCTTTTTGATGAAAGATGGGGTCAAATGAGGATCTGTTCCAGAAGCAGCTATGGATTTGCACATTGTTTGTAGGGCTGCTGCCCGCTCAATGATGGAAAATCAGGCTTGGTTCTTTGGCTGCTTCTTGCGGATGACGGCAAATCGTTTGGACGTTTCACGCTGCCAATTCAATTCACCGCAGGAAGAACATGCTTAGGAATCCTTTGACGCTGGTCTTGTTCCGTTTGTCCACAAGCGACAGGCGCGGAGTGTGGGGACATAGTGATCAAAGTGTGTTGGTTGTGCATGAGAAGCCACGACTTGGAGAGTTTCGCAAGCAGACCCAAAGGAGAATGTTCCAATGACCGGCTGATCATCGAACACGGTTTGTTTGGGATATGTGCCCTTCATTTCAACACCGCTGCAGACTCGCGGGTTGCATGTGGAGGCCACTGCGATGCCTACGACTTTTCTTGGACATGACTTGACGCCCTTTTGAGGTGTGGCGATCAACCCAGGTTCGCCCTGACAAGTTGAAGGCCGACGTTGGCTTGCCACCACCTCCCCCCTCAACGAAGGCCCCGAGCTTCACGGGAAGCAGTGTGAGGGCTGGCCACCAGTGTGTACCAGACGCTGGGGATGCCGTCATGGAGGGCTTCCTTGGCCATGTAGCTAGCCCACTCCTGCAAACCGCGCTTCTCAAGGTTTCTTTGGTGAGCACTGCAAAAGTTGCGGCAGGTTTCTCGTGAAGAATTGCCCAAGGCTCCACCACTATCAGCTCCAGCACCAGCTCAAGCTCGACCACCAGCACCAGCAGTTCCTCAAGCACAAGCACATCGACCTCCCTCACCAGCAGCAGCTCCTCCACCACCAGCACCAGCTTCACGCCACTTGGCAAGCCCCCACTTTCGGGTCGAGTTCCGGTGTGTTGCGCTTCTTGGAGGAAGCAAGGCAACTTGCAGTCTGTGGCCTGTCGGTGTGGCCTGTTGGCTGAGGAGGCTGCGGAGGCAGGCGCTTTCTCACGTTGATGGGTTATGTGCGCTTGGGGGGTTTTGTTGGGGTTTCGCGGTAGCGCCGTGTCAACCCAGGTCCTTTTTGAGGCTTCGGTTTTGATGGCCTGGGGAGTTGCAGACATGTTTTCCAAGAGCCGCCCAAAAGCACGCGGAAGTGAACCTGCCAGTATGGGTGAGGTACCCAGGCGGCGAGTTTGTAGCTGGTTCTGCTTGAGGCGTTGAGCTACCGGCCAGCTCCTGATCTGGATGGATCATGCCGGTTTGCTAGAATGAAACTCAAGCGTTCAGAATGGATCATGTGCTGGTTCTTCTGGAAAGGACGTGTATCTGTATGAGGACATCCTGAAGAAGGCATGTCGAAATGACAGGCGTTAGGACGGGCTTCCGGGTGCTCTTTAGGAGTGGCTGCATGATAAGACACGACGCCTGACGGGTCAAGAATGGACCCAGCGGAGCTCAGTCTCCAGTGGGCCACGTTCCCACCTGCTCTTTGGACTCATGCGGGACACGAGGAACACGTCGACCACCACCAGCACCACCACCAGCACAAGCACCAGCTTCACCTCTACGACCTCCTCGACCTCCAGCTCCACCACCACCACCAGTAGCAGTAGCACCTCCACGCAGCTTGGTACGCAGTCGGCGAGAAGTGGTGGTGGTGGTGGTGGGACTCAGTTGTGGAGAGGCCTGCAGAAAATAATCAACATGTTTTGGATGATGTCTTGCTCAACCAGCATTTGGGACAACCATCATATTTGTCGTTCGCCGCATTCAATGATGTCACTTTCAATGGTGGCAAGGGAGGCCTGACCATTGCTTCGTTGCAAGCGTGATTTTTTCAGGGGCACTCCGCGGAATTGGCCTGCCGTGAGGACCTCCACCACAACTTTGGTGGAGATCTATCTCGAGAGCGCCGAGGTCATTTGGAACTTCTCAGCGCTCTCGGCTGCACCAGACTGTCAGCACGCCTTCTCACAGCCCGTGTCGTGTGTTGCTGTTCGTTCCCTAAAGCCTCGCAGATGAGAAGCGTTTGGGTTTGAAGAATAACTTTGACCAGGTGCAAGAAGGAGTGAAGACGGCACCGTGTAAGTTCCGACAGATGTGTTGACTGGAGAGTGTTGCTGACTGGACTCAGCAGCCTCAAGAGTGTTGGCCGGGGGCCGTGCGTTGCCTCTCCTATTTGTCCTGGGTCGTGCTTTCTGGGCGCGCCCTTAAGTTGTGTGCTTGCCAACATGTGCTCGCGGACATCAGCGCCCACGCTTGCAATTCGACACTTCTGACGCGTGAAGGTTCCTGTAGACTGTAGACTTTCAGAGCTACCTGGGATTCAATCCCCGACACCCGACCTGATCCGAGACTGTGCGCCTTACCTTCAACGAGCCTGCCAGGCGCGGGTTGTAACAGAGAAGCATGCTGCTTGCATTGGCTGCTTGGCCAAGTCATTCTGAGCATGCGGGATTGTAGCCTGTCAAGGCTCAAAGGCATCCCCTGACGCTTTTCTGCCGCTGGGGGCATGTGTTCTGGGGCAGGCTGAGCCATGTTGGCATCCCGGCGGACATCGGCATAGGACAGCTCGGGCAGGGTGCGTAGGTGCGTCTGCATCAGCTCATGTCGACCCCGGATTAGTCAACCTGCTAAATTATTGGAGTGGTCCTCCAAACTGTGAGGGTTCTACTTTGAAAAGGGAGACCCCGAATTTATTAACCAGGAGTTTTCAATCAAACTTTGCGAACTTTGCGGCTCCGTGTCCCAAACGGGCATGCCAAAGAGGAGTGTTTGCGCTTGGGCTAGTTTGGGCCTACGGTAGGTAGTGCTACTGTGGATGGACGAAATCCTGCACCACCGAAGAAACCATGAGAAACCACTGATAGTTGGTATTTACAGGGAATCAGACAATTCCAAGCAGGCTTTCGTCCATCCACAGTAATTATGGGGGGAATTTGTGTCCTTTACTTGAACTGCTTGGGAACAAGCAGCGGTCCTTGCGCTCCCCGGCGAGGATATAACTTTACGGAGACCGCGCCCTGTGTGGACGTGTTCACGGGTGAGATGATGGCGGCGCTCGGCAATCCTGAGACCTGCCTTTGGTCGGAGGCCATGAGTGAGGGGCCTGATGGACAACGCCCAACGGCGAATGTTTTCTCTTTTGCTGGTGCGAATGATTACATGGATTTGTGCTATGTTAATGTTGTAGCGACTTTGTCCCCTTGTGAGAGCCACAGTCGGCGGCTATGTGAGGCCAAGCAAAAGACTGGCATGATGAGCAGCCGGCAGTTGCAAACCACAGGTCCAGCATGTACCCTTTCATGAGTAGCCGTCTTGTCTGGATGTGCTTCCCCACGCCCATCCAGACAAAAGAATTGTTATTGCGTTTCCATGGTCCACGTTAGTCAGGAGAGCGTTTTGCCCTTCAGCCCAGCCGATTGGCTCGCAGGACCATTTGCAGATGGACGTGCCTCTGGGCCGCCTGTCAAAGAAGACTCCCGCGGGAGGGCTTTGACACCTTCGGTGTCGGTTTTTCCTGAGTTTTACTTCCTGATCCGATCCCAGGATTCCTGCTTGATGCAAGCAGCAAGCACGTGCAGGCGTCTATTCTTGCCGGTGCTCAGGCATGTCCAGCCCATTTTCCTTGGCATGTGCTTGCCATTTGCACTTGAGCTGGAGACTTCTCTGTAAATTTGCATCCAGAGTTGGAGTACCACAAGGGGGTAAATCATTGAAATAGGGTCGTGGGGTACTTTAAACTTATGTCATGATCATAGAACCGTAGGGCCCTTCATATTAGTCAGTTTTCAAGCAGTACGCAGTGGCACGCTCCACTTGTGCACAGACCCCCTCCCCGCCGCCATCAGAATTTCAATCAGGCCCTTTCTGTGTGGGCGAATAGGGGTCGGCAGGTGTTCGTGTCTTTCTCCGCGTTGCTGGTCAGGAAAGCCTTTGCTGCTGATTAGGATTGATTTGACTCCTCTGAAACTACATGGGAAGGTAGCCCCCGAATTAACATACAAACCACCAATCCAAACCACCAAATCGGAAGCTGAGCGCGCCTTTGAGATGGCTCAGGTTACACTGCCACGCTGCTGCTGGGGGAGAACATCACTGTTGAGCCGGGGAGGTTGGTGCCAGCAGGCGGTTTTGCGTGCCGAGTCAGCTGAAAGTGGGCGGAGTGCGGCTTTTGCCTTACCAATGGGTTTAGATATAGCATCCTTTTGGCGGCCTGGCATGTTCATTTTGGGGTACAATAGCGAACGGGGACATGTGACATGTCTGGCCCTTTGTAGTTCTTAGTAGCCGCTAGTCCCTCATAATCACTTGTGTGGCAGGTGCCATTCGATTTGAATTCCAGCTTGGGGTTCTTTCGGCCTGCGCAGGGACGGGCTTCCAGCCCGACCCACATGTACGGGGCATGTCCCACAGATTCTAACCAGGGCAACTCGATAAGAAAGCCAGAATCGCGAAAACGCAAGGTGCTATGTCCCGTTTTGCCATGATCCTTGCCTTGCACCTGTCAGCGCAGGCAACACTGCATGGAACCCTATCCCGCAGATGGGCAGTGGCTTGGCTACATTTGGCTGTGGGTCAAAAACATGTACCAAGATGGCACCTTGGCAAATGGAGCCAAAGACTAAAACCTGCGTAGCCAGTTGTTTAATTTGAGCCACACTCATTTGGGGAGGAAGGGGGGTCCTGCAATCCCACAGTCCGTTGCTTTCCAAGCGGCTTGAGGTCGCAACTGCATAAGGCTCTTGCCACCAGTCTCGTTTGCCCGAATGTGAACTCTTCAGGGCCTTGCAGCTCAGTCGAACTCCCCATTTTGCTGAGGCAAGGCCATGTCTTGTTTGGGCGCTTCAAAGTGTGCCCAACCAAACAAATGGAGGACTGGCAAGGTGCTTCCTACTAACTTGAAGGCAAGACGCAAGCAGCTCGCAAAGTGCTTTCAGGGAAGCGCAGCGCCCTTTCAGATGCTACCGTTGGAAAGCGAAGTGGTGGGACACCTCTTTGTTACAGGCTTCAGCCTTGAATCAAGGATGGGTGCAATTGACCAAAGCTGGCTTGCTATTGACAGAAGGTGTGCAGCCCGGACGTGCGCATATAGGGCAGGCTGCCAGTTCCTTGTATATAATCGCCAGAGCCGGCTGGCATTTGCTGGACAGTTGCTTCTTACTCGTGGGCCCTAAAGTCCGGATTGATGCCATCATTCTTGTGCCACGGTTTTTGTCTAGATTCAAAGTCCAGCCTGGGCTTCGCTCTGGCCTCTTTGGAAAGGACAATGCGCAGATTTCCCGCCAGAACTCGGGGTTTACTCATCCCAAACACGTCAATTCAAACAATCCCAACCCACAAACCCCCCCCCCCAGCCAAAAACAACAGCAACAACCAAACGTACACAACACCACCTCGGGTTTTCGTGGTGATCGGGTCGTTTTGTGAGGCCCACTTTGGACGCAGCAGAGCCTCGAGATGGTGTCCACAGGCTTGGACTCCAGCGCGGTGCTGGCGCGGGCCTGCAGCTGGCTCTACTTCACTTGCCCCTTGGCCAGGCCGCCGCGAAACAATACGTGTTTTTTCTTTTTTGGGTTAGGCGTTGATCAATATTCGTTTCTTGAAATGAGCATTGGTAACCCTTTTTGCCTATTTAGTGGGAACTAATCCCATGTAAAGCACTGCACTTTTCACATTTCAACCCCCATTTCTGGACTGAAATGGGTTGAAAGAAGAAGGGTTGCCACCAGTGTTTGTGACATTGTGGCGGGCCCTTCTGGGGGTGCTCATGGTCAGTTGCCCAAAAGCAGTGGATCAGGGGATTGCTTCTCAAAGCGCCTGATGGCCAACTTTGTCGCTTCCTTTGGAGCGTTGCTCGGAGGATTCCCGCCAGAAACAAAATAAAAATAACAAATCCTATAAACCGCGCCGTCAATGTGACCTGAGTCATAATCTTAACCCGGGTAGATGAAGATCACAACCAGAAGTAGCTGCGGCCGCCTTCCAAATTCTTTGCATGGGGTTCTAGGCCAGTGTAATACCTGGTTTTGATTGTGACTCAGCTGGGCTCATGGAGGTCACACCCTCAGCTGCAAATGGCTCTTGCCTTCCAAAGCTGCCAAAGGTGAGTAAGGTCGGCTGTTAGGCAAGAAATGATTCGCATGAGGGGATGGCAGGTATCCTCTCCAAAAGAAGTGTTTGATCAGTTTAGGGGTTCCCTAAAGAAAGAATCAGGACGTTTCAGCAAGCAGCTTGACCAAACCCAATCAACCCCCCCTGGCCCTTTTGGCGCGGTGCCGAGGCACCAACCTGACGGGTCATGCGGGGCGGCCCTTCCGGGTGCGCTGGAGCTTTGGCGCCCAGACGCCGGAGCCCATGCGCCCCTCGGCGCACAGCTGCGGATTTGTTTTTCTCGGGGCGGTGAGGATCGCAGCGTCCGTTGCTCGGTTTTTTGGGGCGAATTCGTCTCCTCGGAACCCGAAAATTGGCGAAATGACGCACATGGGATAGCCATCAGCTGTGCAATGAGGAGGGTCGACGGCCACCGGAAGGATCATGCTGAATGTCGGAGCTGTTTGAAGGGCCAGGTAGGTGAGCAGTGACTTGCTCGATGCAGCATCGACGGCTGCTTGTGCAAGGTGTCCCTTTTCTACACAGTGCTTGATGAAATATACGGGTGCCATTGTGTCAGAGCTTTGCTTTGTGTGGAGTGCCTGTTGCACCGGGTCTGTTCGTTGGTTAGGACGCTGGTGTGTAAGTGCAGACACATGCCTACCACTCACGGTGTCATGGCGGTGAGCTGGTTGGTGGCGGCAACCGCTTCTTTCCTGACAGACCAGCCATGGAATGGCTCCAGCCAGAAGATTTTTTGAGCTTGACTGGCTTGCAGCATCAACAGCCGCAGGAGAATCTACAAAAGCAGGTCTGAACATAACGAGCTCAGTTGAACAACGTGTCTCTCCCAATGTTAGTAGTAGGTACGTATTGGTCTGGTATTGATTGAGTATTGGCCCAGCAAACGGTCCCCTAGTATGATTGGAACTCGGGTCGGGAGGGGGGATAGCTAGTGTAGTATTTATTTAGAATTGGCCTAAATGTAGTGTCGGGGTCTTTGGAATGCTGCTAAATTGTACGTCCACACGCATGATATGTGTTAATAAGTGCATGCATGAAGCATTTTGCGGTAGTTTGTGCCAACACCAGTCGGAAGTGATACAACTGATGGTCGAGGTCTGTTCTTTTTTTCCTGCCTGGGTAACGGTCCAGCCCAACTGCTAGGCCAGTCTTTGCAGGAGGTGCTCGACAATGCAACCAGCCAGGAGAGAGAATGGAAGGGAAGGCCTTCTTATGCTTTGCCCCGGGAACTCTTCTTGGGAACACGTCTGCGCTGGTGGCTTTTTTTGTGGGGTCTACGGTTGATGCAATGGTGCCGGGCCCAGCAATGGTGTTGATCCAAATGCATGAAACCTGACCTAAATCAACTCAAGTTACTAAGTAAGCCTGGTACCCTTGCCCCTCGTGGATGAGGGTTGCTTCGCTGCTGCCCGGCTTCGGTCGCTGGGGCGCTCCTGACGAGTGATGGCTCAGAATGGGCGAATTTGACCCCGCAGCATCCTGCCCTCCAGAGCCTGTCTCGGCTGCCTTCTCTTGGTTGGGGTGGTCAACTCCATTCTTTCCAGCGATCCTTTCCCAAAAGGTTCTGGAAAAGAACCACGGCCTTCCAAGACAGGAATTGTTTTGTCAGATCAGCGGTCCCTCAATTCATGTCTTTGAGACCCTTGGACCCCCTGGCCGCGTTCGACATCAACCGGCCTGTCCCTTGAGGACCTCCAGGTGGTGACGGTGAGCCCGGCACAGTACAAGGCGGCTGTGGAGGCTGTGGCGCAGCAGTTGGGCGAGGCGAGGGGGGGATTTGGGGTGCTGAGCTGGGAAAGGGTGGGCTTCTCATATGGCCGTGGGTCAAAATAGGGAACACCAAAGCGTTGCCCTGGTAAATAGAAAAGACGATCTAACCTGCGGTCCATATCCTGGTGGATGAATTTTGACCCATACCCACATACCCTCCCTCCGTTGCCATGGCACCTAGGGGGTTCCTTGAAGAAATTATTCTTCCAGGTACCCTCCCACAGGTGCTATGTTTGTGGGAGGAAGGGTATTTCGCCTCAAATAGTATAGTAGGTGCTGTTAAGAGCAGCTCTGGTGCATTGAGACGCCTTTTCGGGCATATCTTCGCAAGTAAGTGAGTTTCCTTTTTGCATTTGGGCTAAGCCAGGTGAGTAGGGGCGAAACGCAAGGAGTGGCAGAGGTCGGAGGGTGTTCTTGTCTTCTATTTGCTGGTTAGCTGAGGGAGGTCAGGACCCGTCGATATCCTATTAAACTGTCTATTGAGAAGAATTGCACCACCTGGCACCACCTTTCAAGGCTGAACGCAAGGCGGCTTTTGTAACTATTCCGCGGCAGCCAAGCTTTTCAGGCGAAACCTCAGGGTTGGTTCAGAGTGGGCAACTTGCGCTTGATGTTCCTAAACTCGGCCTGCCAAGAAGGGATTTACTGACACTGGTCTTTTATTTTGTTTTGTATCGTCCTTAATCGCTCGGCAATGTTCTTTCAGGGGTGTTGCTTCTTATGCCGTGTGCTGGAAGAACATTGACAAACATGTAAAACGTCATGTTTGCGCAGGCAGGATTTGCAGATTCTTGTTGAAGACCGCGTGGAAGTTTGTTCAGGGTTCACAGGGGCTCCATAGCAGCTTCGGTCAACGTGCGTTCAGGCTCATGCATTTGGTGTATGATGAATACGCCCCAGGACCCCAAGTGGAACCCTTCACAATGCCGGTTTTGAGCATGTGATGCAACTTTGTCAACCAAACCAGTTGGCCCTGCAAGCTCTACGGGAAGCCAGGGTGCAAACATGTGAGCAAACGCGTTCATTTTTATTAGGGTAGGCGTGGCTCGATTTTCCCTAAGCTGCGGGATATTTTATTTTGCGGGCATGTGGTGATCGAATCATATAGTCCAGGATTTGGCAGTCATGATGGCACCCTGATGGCAGAAATGCACCAGCCCAGCCTCAGTGAGGCTACGGCTACGGCTACGGCCGCAGCCAGCATTAACAAAAGTTTGGGATAGTGTACTCCTTCCAGCTGGTAGCACTTGGCTTTTGGGCAGTGGTGTGCGGTTTTCCCGCGCGCGCGCACACGCACACCCAGCCACAGAGAGCCAGGTGGACATTATCCGCCTGGAGGTTGTCGCGAGTGTCTACAACTGGCTCGGAGAGGAGACCATGGACACTGCTTCAGCCTGGGTGCAACTGGACCAGGCCTTGGCGTTGGGGGCAGGGGCTGACCATGGTCATCGCTTGCACGGGCTCGCGCACAAGAAAGGCAAAAGGGATTTGACGGTCTTTCATTTAAAGGCAGGTGCAGATCAGCAATTGGGTCCGACAATCCGGAACCTGTCCCATTTTCTTTTTGTGAATGGGTTCCCACTGGCCGTCCACCCATGGGTAGCCTTGTTACTTATTCAACCCGCGTCGCTAGCAACTGGGCTACAGTTTTGGCGCCTCATGACGAGGCGCTTGTCAAAAAAGGGGCTTCGGGAAGCGGGTTTCTTCAGGCTCAAGTGCCCAGTATCAATGGTAGATCTTGCCAGTTTTGTTGGGACAGGCTTTGATACCGTGCTGCCTAAAGCTGTTGCTGAGCGACACAACCAGACAACATAAGGGAAAGATGACACTCGATTTTCTCTTTGGCATTCCCGGGTTTTTGAAAGGGACTGGAGCAGCAAAACGTTTGCCTTGGGTAAATCGGACTTTCATCGAGTCGCATCACATCTCCCGGCTTCGGTTCTGGGATAGCTTGTGAGTCGCCAGCATTCTCAACCAGGAAAAGAATGGGTGTGTTTTTCTTGGTTCCGCGGAACATAGGAAGGTTTGGGCCTCCCCTTCTTCAAGGGGCCTCCTTTCCGGCGCAGTCAGCCCCGGGGTTCGGGAGCCTGGATGCTCTTGGCTCACCCCATGCGCACACCAGGCGCCGCAAGTGGTGCCGGCAGGGCCCACCGCCCTGACCATTTTCAACCGGGAGGAGGCGAGACTCGGGGGGGGGTTGTGCATTCGGCTTGGCTTGGTGCGCGGGGCGGGCGAACATGAACTCCTCGCATACGCAATCTGAACGGCATCGCGATTCCACATGCCGTCACCTTGGCACCTTTGGAACTGAGGGCTTCTTCGTTGGGAGAGATCGAATCTCAGGCCGAGTTCGTTCTCGAGACGGTGCTCAGAGAGGATGCGGTCTGCTCTGACGCGGACCGTCCCGTGGCGTCTTTGTTCGGCACCGGGAAGGTGCTCGAAGTAGGGCAGCATTTGTTACTTTGCTTTTGTTATTTGCGTGTCATTTTTTTTGCTTTTCCGGGTGGCAAGAAGCCTGGCATCCAAACTAATGAGACGGGTCTGGCCTTATTCCCGTTGAAGGCTATCACCCTGACCGCCACTTCATCAAAGCTAATTTGGGATGGATCCCTGTAAGCTTGACGGGTGATATTGGGATGTTTTCTTTCGCGGTCTTACTGCAATTTGCCACTGGCAGCTTGACCTGCAGACTTGCCCTGTTTATCAAGCCTGCCTACTACTTGCCGGTCGCCAACATGTGCACTTTGTAGCCGAACCAGAGCTTTTCTGTGTTTCAGACTTCGCATGGCCGAGCGCGCGGTACAGCCCGCGAGGCTACAATCGCCGCATCTCGGTGGATTGGGAATATTCTAACGCGACCCACAACTGGACGAGCCTCAGCACGGCGCCTTGGCTGCGTGGGGCCTGGGCGGGAAGGCTGGACGCCTAGGCTCTTGTCAAAAATGTTCACAATTGCTCTTGCATGTAGCTGTGCAGATTGCATAATTGGCATGGTGGGGAGGCTTTCTGGTTGTCAACGTTTTTGCTCATGGTGAGAATTGGGTTCCTTTGCATTGCTTGTCATGTTGCGGCGCCTTCTTCCTATCACTACGTGCCCAGTCTAGCATTGGTTCTGGGGAGGGAAAGCTGGCAGCACAGGAGCTAGCTCCTTCGAAAAGGACAAGGGCGAATTTGTCGGAAAATCCACGCCCTGAAAACAAGAGCCAATGACTGGCAGCATGATAGCCAACTAAGAGCCTCCAAGAGTTAAGTACCCCCACACAGGAGCAGAAGAAGATGAGTAAACCTGTTGCTCCCGGACATGCTCGAGCACCCGGCTAGCACAGACACACACACACACACACACACACACACACACACACACACACACACACACACACACACACACACACACACACACACACACACACACACACACACACACACACACACACACACACACACACACACACACACACACACACACACACACACACACACACACACACACACACACACACACACACACACACACACACACACACACACACACACACACACACACACACACACACACACACACACACACACACACACACACACACACACACACACACACACACACACACACACACACACACACACACACACACACACACACACACACACACACACACACACACACACACACACACACACACACACACACCACACACACACACACACACACACACACACACACACACACACACACACACACACACACACACACACACACACACACACACACACACACACACACACACACACACACACACACACACACACACACACACACACACACACACACACACACACACACACACACACACACACACACACACACACACACACACACACACACACACACACACACACACACACACACACACACACACACACACACACACACACACACACACACACACACACACACACACACACACACACACACACACACACACACACACACACACACACACACACACACACACACACACACACACACAGACACACACACACACACACACACACACACACACACACACACACACACACACACACACACACACACACACACACACACACACACACACACACACACACACACACACACACACACACACACACACACACACACACACACACACACACACACACACACACACACACACACACAACACACACACACACACACACACACACACACACACACACACACACACACACACACACACACACACACACACACACACACACACACACACACACACACACACACACACACACACACACACACACACACACACACACACACACACACACACACACACACACACACACACACACACACACACACACACACACACACACACACACACACACACACACACACACACACACACACACACACACACACACACACACACACACACACACACACACACACACACACACACACACACACACACACACACACACACACACACACACACACACACACACACACACACACACACACACACACACACACACACACACACACACACACACACCTGATGCACAACCCCATGTGCGGGTCATATGTCGAAACCCTGGCATTTCGTGACGCAAACTGGTGTGCAAATAGGATCTCAACAGGAGTTGATTCTTTCCCGGCCAATGATTTGTTGGCCTCCTCTTGCGAGCGACGCCTGACAGACAAATCGGGTCGAACTGCCTCCAGGCCAGCCACTTGCAGGACACTGCCTGGACCACCCCGCCGCTTGCCAATGGAGTTTGTTCGATGGCGCCGCTCTCCGCTCTCTGGTTTGGGCCGACGCCGGAAAGGGTTCCTGATTGTCAGCGTGGTCACTGGGCAACCGGGGTTCTGGGTATTCCTTGAAAGCTAAAATGAAACCCGTTCCCCCGGAAGGAGATTTCTCCAGCAGGGTGCTTCTTGGTTTTCGCGCTCGTTTGAGCAGCATAGAGGGAACGACATGGTCAGCGAAATTCAAGCAAACCACGGGACAACATGGGCGACTGAACTAGTCAGAGCAGTCCCATGCAATGGACCCATGCAATGGACAATTGTCTCATCAGCAAAAGATGAGACACTTGCTTCGTCTTCAGAATTTCTACCATTCCGAAGTTGCAATTAGGCATATGTTTCTCAGGGTTTGGGACATTTTGGGAGGTTAAACAGGCAGAGACTACACGAACTCAGGGACCGCAATTTTGAGCCAAGGCTGACTTGGACGGGCGGAACGAAGAAAAGGTGGGGCCTTTCAAAAGCCCCACAAGCTAAAAAACCGCATGAGGGATGGGAATGAACCGGCCCAATTGGTAGCATATCAGACAGGCCGGTTCTCGCGTGGAGTTTCGTGAAGACTAGATCGCCTGGGCCCCACTCACGTATTGGGCCTCCAAACGGTTCTGAGCCGCGAAGCACAACCGGTCAGGCTGACAACTGGGGTCGCAGTTTTTTCTGCTGCCCTCCCCCAGGTTCAGCCAACTTCGGCCTCGGTGATACCGAAGCCGCAAAGTGGGAAACGTAGAAACCCGTGAGGGGCGCGCAGGTTCAGATCTTGATGCACAGTGCGGAGTTTCGTTCCGTGTGCTCAAGCGCAATGCTTTGCACGATGGCCATTTGTACACACTTGTACCATTTCCCTTTCTTTCCTTTTGCTTTCCCGCATGTGGCGCTGGAGCTTAGTCCTGGTAGTTGTGTGCTATGTTGGCGTTAGCGTGTGTTTTTTGCGACCGTTTTTTGCAAAAAATCTGGCGGGATGTTACCGAGACTTCTGAAGCAGCGCGGAACAGAACTGTTGGCGACTTCAGAAGTGCTGCGCGGTGCGTGACACATACATGACTCAAACGCTCCCTCACATTGTGGCTTCGAAGTGCCGCTTCTTCGATTTTTCTGAGGTCTGTGCTGAACTTCGCCCCCTTCAGCTTCCCAGCGGACTCCATGCATTTCTTCAGGGCCACCGTGTATTTCCTAGGCCTCAAGCGCCCAGGGGTTCGGGATAGGGATTTGGATGGGTCAACTGCCAAGAACGGCGGGTTCGAGCAAGGGACCGACAGCATGGTTTGAATATGCGGGCACCGTGGTTTGGACGGTTTCTGGTCTCAGGACAGTTGTCCATTCTGCAATTCCACAGATGAAATTATTAATAGCTTTTTTCTTGCGACTGCATTGTGCAGGGTTCTTTGAAGGGTTCTTTGGAAAAAAAAACGGTTGCCTTCTACACCGCTGACTTACGCAGCGTGACTGACACAGCCTGACTTACGCAGCCTAGCTTACGCAGCGTGACTTACGCAAACTGACTTACGCAGCCTGACTGACACAGCCTGACTTACGCAGCCTAGCTTACGCAGCGTGACTTACTCAAACTGAGTTACGCAGCCTGACCTACGCAGCCTGACTCACGCTGCCTGATTTACGAAGCCTCACTTACGCAGGCTAGCTCACGCAGCCGAAGCTCGCCGCCTTTAATTTTATCTTCTTTCTTAGGCGGGGGTGGGTCTGGCTCTCGCTGTGGCGCCGTGCGAATCTCAAAGCTCGCCGACGAACCCTCAGCGGAGACTGCGCGTGTCGGATCGCTCTCGCTGTGGTTTTCGTAAAGTTTAAGTGGAAAAGTAGCACACGAAGCACGCTCCCGAAGCTCCTCGCAAGTTTTAAGTAGAGAAGCAGTACGCGAGCTACGCTCCCAAAGCTCCGGCCTAAGAATCGCAAGTTTTAAGTATAGAAAAATAGTATGCGAAGTGCGCTCCCGCAACTCCGGCCTGAGAGTTGCACATTTTAAAATAGAAAAGTAGTACGCGAAGCGTGCTCCCACAGCAACCAGAAAGAGAAGGAGAAAGATAAAAGGAAGGAGAAAAAGGGAAACAGAGAGAGAGAGAGAGAGAGAAAGATCGAAAGAGAAAGAGAAAGAAAAAGAGAAAGAGAAAGAGACAAAGAAAGATAAAGAGAAGGAGAAGGATAAAGATAAAGAGAAAGAGAAGGAGCAAGAGAAAGAGAAAGAGACAGAGGAAAAAGGAAGAGAGAGAGAGAGAGAGACAGAGAACAATAAAGAGAGTCAGAGAGAGAGAGAGACAGAGCGATACAGAGACAGAGAGAGAGAGAGAGAGAGCGAGAGAGAGAGAGAGAGAGAGAGAGTGAGAGAGAGAGAGAGAGAGAAAGAGAGAAAGAAAAGAAAGAGAAGCACGGAGGAAGGGAAGGAGAGAAAGGGAAGGAGAAAGAGAAAGAGAAAGCGAAAGAGAAAGAGAGAGAGAGAGAGAGAGAGAACGGGAGAGAGAGAGAGAGAGACAGAGGAAAAGAGAGGGAGAGAGAGAGAAGAAAAGATAGACGGAGAGAGTGAAAGACAAGAAAAGAAAGGGAGAGAGGGAGAGAGAGACAGAGACAGAGAAATAAGGATAAAGAGAAAGAGAAAGAAATACAGAGAGGGAGAGAGAGAGAGAGAGAGAGAGAGAGAGGGAGAGAGCGAGCAAGAGAAAGAGAAAGAAAGGGAAAAATACAGATAAAGAGAAAGAGAAGGATAAAGATAAAGAGAAAGAGAAGGAGAAAGAGCAAGATAAAGAGACAGAGAAAAAGAAAGAGAGAGAGAGAGAAAAAAAGGAAGATACAGAGAAAGAGAGAGAAAGAGAGAGAGATACATATGTAACATTTTGCACTTGTTGTTCGAGGGCGAAGCAATTGTACAGCGGCGCGCGCGCGCGCAGCTCAGCGTTGAATGCGTGGGCTTGATTGCGCAGGTTCACGTTCGCCGCTTAGCATTGAACATGGATCATGAGGCAATGCGGCAACGCGATTGCTGCATGCTAGACATGGGTTGCTTAGATGTTTGTTTGGCGTGTGTAGGTGTAGGTTTACGAATTTCAGTTGTCGAGCAGAGTAGTGCCTGGATGCGTGGCACGGCGTAGTGTACACAAGCAACATCACACCTGTGTACACCACAACATTCTTGCATCACCTTTGTCACACACGCTTTCGGGATAACCGGGGTCTAGTTTTTTTCTTTGGGGGGGGAAAAGGAAATCAACTACTCTTTTTCTTGGACATACCTCTCCAATCGATCCAACAGGTTGACTGACTCCTGGGTCCTGGGTCGACGTTCGGTGTGTAGGCCTGTCCCCATCCGTGGTGGAGAACACCCAGGTGATGCTTTTCAGCGTGGCGGTGCGCCCGCGCCCGTCGGCGGCAGATCTGTGAGGGCAGTGGTGACGGTGGTGACTTCCATTTGCTTAAGTTGTTTTTTCCCCCTTTTTGGTTTTAAAAGGAAATTGTCACTACTGGATTTTTCCAGGGGTCTTGACCAAATGGAAGGTGACATGCATGGATGCCACGCTTCACCCTCCAAAGGGAGGGCTCTGCTGGTCCCCATGCTTCCCCTTTGCCGTTTTGAAGATCGCCATTTCCAGTGGTGCTTCGTTTCGGAGGGGGTTGGTCAATATTCCCTTCGGGCCCCCAGTCAGTTTTGGCCATGGGTAACTTTTCCCACGTGGACAATCTCCATCTTTTTGTGGAGCCGCTAGACATCTCATGTAAAGAGCCTTCTGACCACTCCCAGGTGGAAATATTGGGTGCTCCAACCAATGGTCATCTTTACTGTGGATCGCCGAAATCCTGCGCCACCCAAGGCCCAAGAGTCCCTGGAATGATGAGTGGGAATCCCCCGTAAATACCAAACAAGGGTCTGGGACGGTTTCTTGGATGTGCTGCGACATGGATGTGGGCTCGCTGAGGCGAGCGGGTCATCGCCCGCGTGGCCGGGCCCACGGAGACCTCCGCGAGCTGCGGCTTCCTGTTGTCCGCCCAGGCCGGAGGGCCGGCAGAGGAGATCACGTGGTTTCAGTCTATTTCCCGTTTTGGAGCCTCCAAAAGACTCGCTAGCTTCAATAATGGAAACCACCAACCAGTGACTCCAATGACCCCCTTGGGTCAGGGTGGTTGGCAGGGTCTTATTGCTTTTCTTGGGGTTGCTGAGGTTAGGGATGGGAGAAACATGTTGAACCAAGGCCCCTGGTGGAGCCGTTTTCTTTGCCCTTCGGCCTTCCTTCCATGGGCTTCCATGAGCCACGAGGCATCTGAAGATCCGGCGCGGCCTCCCACGGAAGCGCCGAACTTCCTGCGCCTTGGCAGTAGCTGTGGGCTTGGGAGTTTTGGCTTGGCCCTGCCAGCGGGCTCGGGCAGCCTTTCGTTTTCTGAATTGGGTGAACACCGGTCGCCACACCAGCACTTTGATATATGATATGTGGGCTCAGGCGAATCCATCGTTGTCACTAGTGCTTGCCCATTTAGCCTTTGGAGATTTAGCAATTCATCATGGCCAAGAAGACCGCCATTGGGATTGACCTCGGCACAACCTATTCTTGCGTGGGTGTTTGGAAGAACGACGGAGTGGAGATCATTGCCAACGACCAGGGCAACCGAACCACTCCATCCTACGTTGCCTTCACTGATACTGAGCGATTGATCGGGGACGCAGCGAAGAATCAGGTGGCCCGAAATCCTGAGAACACGGTCTTTGATGCCAAAAGATTGATTGGCCGCAAGTTTGCCGACCCCATTGTGCAGGCAGACATCAAGTTGTGGCCATTCAAGTGCGTCGCAGGTCAGGGCGACAAGCCAATCATTGTGGTGAAGGTGGAAGGCGAGGAGAAGAAGTTCCCTGACATGAGCAAGAGCAGATATGTTTTCGTTTAGGACCTAAGGAACTTGCATTTCGGGGTTTGTTCATCATTGATGGCTGGCACAAATAAATTGTTGTGGTTGAAGTCGACTCAGGTATCATCCGGAGGAAATCTCCTCCATGATTCTGCTGAAGATGAAGGAGACAGCCGAGGCCTACTTGGGCACCAAGGTGAATGATGCTGTCGTCACGGTGCCGGCCTACTTCAACGATTCTCAGCGCCAAGCCACCAAGGATGCTGGGACCATTTCCGGCATGAATGTGCTGCGCATCATCAACGAGCCAACTGCCGCGGCCATTGCATATGGCCTGGACAAGAAGGGCAGCGGTGAGAGGAACGTGCTCATCTACGACATGGGTGGCGGCACCTTCGATGTGTCGCTGCTGACCATTGAGGATGGTATCTTTGAGGTCAAGGCCACTGCAGGAGACACTCACTTGGGAGGTGAGGATTTTGACAATCGAGTGGTGGACTTCTGCATGCAGGACTTCAAGCGCAAGAACCGTGGGAAGGACTTGGCGGGCAACCAGCGAGCCATCCGCCGACTGCGCACGCAGTGCGAGCGTGCCAAGAGGACCCTGTCCTCATCCACGCAGGCCACCATTGAGATTGACTCCCTCTTTGAGGGCATTGACTACAGCTGCTCCTTGTCTCGTGCACGCTTTGAGGAGCTGTGCATGGACTACTTCCGCAACTCCATGGGCCCTGTGGAGAAGTGCCTCAAGGACTCGGGCATCGACAAGAAGAGCGTGCACGACGTGGTGCTGGTGGGTGGCTCCACGCGCATCCCCAAGGTGCAGTCCATGATCCAGGAGTTCTTCAACGGCAAGGAGCCGAACAGGTCCATCAACCCAGATGAGGCTGTGGCATATGGTGCGGCCGTGCAGGCTGCTATCCTGACTGGCGAGGGCTCCGCCCAAGTGCAGGATCTGCTGCTTTTGGATGTGACGCCGCTCTCCATGGGCTTGGAGACGGCAGGTGGTGTGATGACCAAGTTGATTGAGCGCAACACAACCATCCCGACCAAGAAAGCGCAGACCTTCACGACCTATGCGGACAACCAGCCGGGTGTGTTGATCCAGGTCTTCGAGGGTGAGCGCGCCAGGACAACAATCTCCTGGGCAAGTTCCACCTGGATGGCATTCCTCCGGCTCCCCGGGGTGTGCCGCAGATTGAGGTGACCTATGACATCGATGCCAACGGAATCTTGAACGTGAGCGCATCCGACAAGTCCACTGGAAAGTCCAACCAGATCACCATCACCAATGAGAAGGGCCGGCTGTCGCAGTCGGAGATCGATCGCATGGTGCAAGAGGCAGAGAAGTTCCGTGCCGAGGATGAGGCCATGTTTGGGCTACAGACTACGCTGTTTGGGCTTGTGTGTTGCTAACAAGCTTACCCATGTTGTCATGCTTGTGCATGTGCGTGCGCTCGCGCGCAATCCATCATGCTTTGCAATTCGTATCAATCGTAATGATGTTGTTTGCAAACCTTGATGCGTCAGGAAAGTAGGTTCCCAAATGACTATGTGTTTGCTACTTAAAGATACTTAAAGTGTTTGATGAGTTGACTTCCCACCCAACGTTACAGCAACGCGATGTGCACTGGATTTAGGCCAACAAGCAGAAGATCGAGGCCAAGAACGGCTTGGAGAATTACTGCTTCACAATGCGCAACACCCTGAACGAGGAGAAGCTGAAGGACAAGTTCGAGGGTGGTGATAAGGAGAAGATCGAGTCTGCGGTGCAAGAGACCCTGGACTGGCTGGACAAGAACCAGTTGGCTGAGAAGGACGAGTTTGAGGCCAAGCAGAAGGAGCTGGAGGGCGTTGTGAACCCCATCATGATGAAGGTGTACCAGGCTGCTGGTGGCGGTGGCATGCCAGAAGGTGGCATGCCAGGCGGTGGCATGGGTGGCGCCCCTGGCGGCAACAGCGGTCCGACCGTCGAGGAAGTGGACTAATTCGGGCATCAAGCACAAAGTGTTCGAGTACGTGTGGGAATTAAGCTCACAGCCAACATTTCTCTTTGGGCAATTGGCAATTGTGCCAACGCCCAGCAAAGACCTGTGCATTGAACAGAATCATCGGAAACTGCACGAAAGCAATTGTCCGATGAAGCAGAGGCACAGGCATAGCATTGGCATGGCATACTTTGTTGAAGTTGTGTTTGCCCGGTTTTGGGAACAGACAATGGGCTTGCCTAGTTACGAAGAGAAGGACTGTACGTTAGCCGTTTCAGTATTTCATGATTCTAGGATGCTCCAAACTTGGTTTAACCATGAGATAGCGTACGTGACCCCTTCTAGGGCCGAAGCGTTTTGATACTACGTTGCTCAGAGTCTCTGCCGTTCTTATGCAGTGTTTCGGTCAGCTCAGATTGTATAAGCTGGATGAGCCACAATCAATGAAGGGTGGTACCAAATGCTTCGTGCTTTGCGTGGGTATCGATGGCATGGAGTCCTTTTCTCCCGTTCTAAGTTATGTCTTTTGTGGGTTCAAACGGAGCAACTTGGGTTGGATACGGCGTTCTTGCGCTGCGGTGCGAAGGAACTAGAGTCACTTGATGGAAGTGGTGCAGATATTCGATGTGTTTGTGGAAGTGGCCCTGTCAAGGGCATGCGTTGGGTAGTCGCCCACGCGGATCCGTTGAGCGCAACTCCTAACGAGTACTCTAGGCATTGCGACTGCGCTTGGTTAAAGGAAGTGGCAGAGTGAGCTGGCTTGCAATGGCACCGTTGCAACCTTTTTGGAATGCTTCGCCATCACGCACAGCGCATAAGCCCAAAGCGCCACCGCGCATGTTTCAACGCAGCACGCCCCTTTGGAGCCAGCGACGCCAAGCTCTGCCCAGTCGCATGCGTGTGATAGTATGGGCCAGCTTGTCCTTGTCGCCAGCTCGGACATTAGAGGAAGCCTGGGCTAGTCAGCCCCTTATTCATCCACGCGTTTTCTGAAAGCAAGACATTTGTTCAGCAAACCAATGCACGAAATGTCCGGAGCACGCCTTTCGCCAAAGTGCACGAGGTACAAATGGACCTGCGAGACAGCCCTTGCCGATGCAGCTGCCGCATTGGCAGCAATCAGATCGACGGTTCTGAGCCATAGATCGACGGATGCCCTGGGCTGCGGTTCCCTAGCTTTTGCTTCGCTGACCTGTGGATGGACAAAATCCTGCACCAGTTGGGAGATGATCTGTCCCAATATTTGTTTCATCCATTGGAATCTGTCCCAACTTGTAACATTTTGTGCGTTGCACGGACGATTACGCCAAGCGATAAAGTCGTTTCGAGCTGGAACATCAAAGCAGAGAGCCAGCGGCACTAAAATTTAGGAGCCACCCTGATTAAAGCAATGCTATACTTCTTTGGGTTAATCAGAGGTTGACACGGGTCACCTCTGAAGTCCAGAGAGGGCCTACGAGGAGCTGTCCACCCAAGCCGCGGCGCGTAAGTCTGAGGTCTGCCGCTTCTTGGACGGCTGGAGCCCGGAGCTGAACGTGGAAGGCGGCCTGTTCCAGGCGAGCCTGCAGTCTCAGGGGGCGGCTGGTTCGGGCGGGTGGCTGGTGCGTTTTTGGCGGCGTTTGCAAAAACCAGGCGTCTTGTCCAATGCTGCGCTGTGTGTTTTGTTTTCTTTCGGATTTTCATTTGTGTTGCAAATGTGATTGGTGAGGCGCATTGGTTGGTTGGGCTCACGACTTCGATGAGGTTGTGTCCCTCTTGCTTGTGACTGTTTAGACGTGCTTGCGCCGAGCGTTTTTCAAACACAGAACCTGCGTAGAGGTCTGACTCAACCATGGCAACGCGCATGCCTATTCTATGAGATCCCCCACATGCAGGCGACTAAATGAACACACAAGAAGATATCAAGTAAATCAGCTCATGCTTACATAGATACATGCATGCATCTATTTGTCTATCTATCCATCTTTCCATGCCTGCCTGTCTATTTATCTCATCTATCTCATCTATCTCATCTATCTCATCTATCTCATCTATCTCATCTATCTCATCTATCTCTCCTACCTAGCCTATCCAACCTACCTAGCCTATCCAATCTATCTAGTCTATCTGATCTATCTAACCTACGTAATCTTTCTATTCTTTCTAATCTGTTTCATTTATCTATTCTGTCTAGGCCTTTTCATCCCTCTAGTCCATCTAACTATCTAATCTGTGTAATCTGTCTACCCCATCCATCCAAAATGTATCTAACCCACCAAATCCAATCTATCCAGTCTACATCTGCTATGTTTAATCTATCCAATCTATCTAACCTATCTAACCTATCTAACCTATCCAACCTATCTAAGCCTCTAAGCTATATAACCTATCTGACCTATCCAACCAGCCTAATCTACTTAACCATCTAACCATCTAATCTGTCTAACCTAGCTAACCTAATTAACCTATCTAAGCTACGTAACCTATGTAACCTATCCAACCTGCCTAATCTATCTAACCAAGCTAACCTACCTAATCTATCTAACCATCTAACCTATGTAGCATAGCTATATCTAATCTGTCTAACGAATCTATCCACATATGCATCTAATCCATCTAACCTATGCAGCATAGCTAATGTATCTAGTATATCGAATCTGTCTAACGAATCTATCTCTAGTCCATCTGTTCTATCCAATCTATCTACTCTACCTACTCGATCTAATCTATCTAATTCACTGAATCATTCACTGAATCACTGAATCAATCCCATCCAATCCAATCAAATCTCAAATCAAGTAACCAATGAATCAATCAAGTAACCAACCAAGCAATCCATCCATCCATCCATCCATCCATCCATCCATCCATCCATCCATCCATCCATCCATCCATCCATCCATCCATCCATCCATCCATCCATCCATCCATCCATCCATCCATCAACCATCCATCCATCCATCCATCCATCCATCCATCCATCCATCCATCCATCCATCCATCCATCCATCCATCCATCCATCCATCCATCCACCCATCCACCCATCCACCCATCCACCCATCCACCCATCCACCCATCCACCCATCCACCCATCCACATCCATCCACCCATCCACCCATCCACCCATCCACCCATCCACCCACCCATCCACCCATCCACCCATCCACCCATCCACCCATCCACCCATCCACCCATCCACCCATCCATGCATCCATCCCTCCCTCCCTCCCTCCATCCATCCCAGCCAGCTATCCGTCCATCCATTCCAGCCAACCATCCGTCCGTCCGTCCATCCATCCGTCCATCCATCCATGAGTTGTTGAGTGTTCTATTGATCTATTCTGTATGCATTTTCATATCTACATGCAAGTCGTCGATTGCCTTTGTGCATTCGCTCTTTCGGACCCCGCCCGTGCCGCTCTCCCAAAGCTATGTGAGTACGCCTCAGCCCTAGCTTGCGCGCCTGCCATGGTCCCATCAGGTGGCTGCCAGTGAGACACACGGGTCCCTAAACAACGGCTCCGGAAAGCATGCAGCAACCACACAGACACACACACACACACATTGTTTTTCAAGCTGTTAGCTTTGAGCAGCTTGGCTTCTCCTCTCCCATAGGGAATTGTTCAGGTAAGCACGCAGCACATCTTGGTGTCGGTCGGGTACTTGCAGGGTACCTGGGAATACCCCTGACTCATGTCTGTGGGTGGTTTGGTCACCTGTATCTGCCAGGAGGGCACCTATACCTTCAATGCCGCTTGGCTGATTCGTCGGGTGGGGAGGTCGTGTACTTTGCTCTATTTTTTTTTTGTCTCCCCCTTTTCTGCTGGACCGCACCAGCTGAAAAACTCTACGAGGAATCAGGCCCCCCACGCATGAACAATCGCCCCACAGCAGTATGCTCCTCCGGATGAGTCCTAAGTGGACTTTGGGGCAAGGGATGTCAATTGAACACTGGCTATTTGAGCAATACTAGTTGAGACATGCACCACCAGGGCCCAATCCAATTGACAGCTTTTTCCGATGCTCGCTCCTCAACGCCATGGCTCGGCTCTCAGGTTCTGGTCTGGCGAGCAGATGAGACGGAGGCTGACGGCAGCAATGCATCTATCACCGCCGGGGCTCCAAGAGTCATATGGCTGGTGCGGTGGTTTTGTGGTGGTGGAGAGAGGTGTCAAGACTTCGTTGCGGCTTAGTTTGCTGGGTTTTGTGAAAGTGCTAGCCTAGTTTTGCCTCAGTTTCGTCTTTGTTCAAGCCTTAGATCCTTAGTTTGGTGACCCTGCAGATTCTTATCAAGCTTCCCATTGTCATTCTTCCTGCCGTTCTCCCCCCGCGGCGAAGAATTGTTGTAATGGTTCCGTATCATTGCAACACCTTTGCCCTTGTCAATGTCCCCCTTCTTTCCTGGGACTCCCTGTCTTGTCATAGGGCTCGAAGGCCGCCGGAAGTGGCTTCTTGCTTTCCAGCGGAGCGGGCCACGATCAATGCCTGGCCTTCAAGGCTCCCCCCCCCCTCAGACAGGTGCTCTGCGAAGGTTGCAAAGTTTGACCCAACGATCCACAGACAGCATTCTGGCCACAAGGATTGCGGCTTCAAGCAGCGCACATCCCCCATACTGGCCCCCGATCATCAATGAACGCTTGTTGTTCCTTTTTCTAAGTGGCACGAATGTCACATTCTACGGTGGGCCGATAGGGACTTGTGCATGTTGACCACGAAAAAGAAGTCTGCAAGGGGTCACCCGAGGAGACCAGTGTTCAAATACGCGCCTCTTAGAATGACAATGGAACCGGCCAACGGCTCCCTCAAAAGGACAGCTGCCTTTCAGGTGGCCAAAAGGGTTTCACGTTTTGTTTTGGGAAGTTACTCCTTCTGGCTGTTGGTGGATGGGGCCGGTTCAATGTTGAGCATCCCGCTTAGCTTCTTGTCAAGTGCAGATAAGGGGGCAAAGAGCTCACCCGGAACAGGATCGTTCCATGGGGGTTTCTTAATCCAGAGTTTTGCAGTATCATGAGTGCAAGTCTGGCTGATTGAAACAATGCAAGATCATCCAATATTTTGAATTTCAGCGCACTATAACATCTGCGAGTCCGGGTACTTTTTGTTCATGGAACGGGAAAGCCACGATCGAAACCCGGGTGGATGAAAGGCCTAGCAGGCGCGACCCCGACCATAGGTGCGGTGTGCCTTGAGAGGCGAGAACCATTTGGGGACACTATTTTTTCAAGGCCCTTGGTTTTTGGTTTTCCTTTGGGTCCGCCAATGGGTGGTTTGGATCTTGGGGAATCGATCCAAACCAAGGAGAAACTTAACCAAACCCCTGAACCTTCCAAACCCCTCAGCCAATCGAACTTCACGAAACTTCTCCCATTCCAAACCAATCCAAGCCAATTCGAGGGAAGAGGGAAGCGGCCGGAACCGAACTTTCAGGTGACGCTCAGCAGCTCGGCGCCGCCCCCGGTGGTGATCACCACCCCGTGGCTCAACGGCAGCGGGGTGTCCATGCAGCGCGGCTTCAGCGCGCCCGCCGCGGCTTGGGATCGGATCGCGGGTTGGGATCGCTGCGGCCTGAGGTCGGGCTGATTTTGTAGGTGTGCGCCCTGGCAAATTAAGTTAGGTCCGAACCCTGAACGAGCAAGCCTTTCGGGATTTGCAGGGGATTGAGGTCCATTAGTCTTCTGGTGGGTGTCAAAGCTAGGTAGGTGCCAGGGCCCTCGGGTTCGCACGGGCTCCCTTTGCTTTCCCCGGTGAACTCCCTTCACAAAGGAAAACAGCTGATAAATGTACATGCAGAAGGGCCGCAGCCGCGCCAAAAAACTCCGGGTATCCCAAAATTGGGGAGCCCCCTTTGGGTGTTGTTTGCGGGCAAAGCCAGCAGGAAACGGACCGCTTTGACAGGGCCACGGGCATCATCGGGCATGCCAGGCGGCTCGGTGGAGGCTGAGATCCGGGGCAGTGCCAGCTGTCCAGTGCCGGAGGTTCAGAACTTCAGGCGGAGTCAGGGCGCGCAGGGTATCCACTCATGGCTGGCTGACGCCTCCACAGCTTTCCTTCAGAAAAGTCAGCCTCCCTTCTGAAACGGGCAGGGTACTCGGTAAGTAGGTAGAAACCATGGTTATAACCCATTTACCATGGTTATAAGTCTCCTAAGTAGGTTATAGCCAGGCTTACTAATCACTTACTAAGTACCCTGCCCCTTCAAGTTTTTCATTTCTCCACCCCTTGTTTGTTCAGATTGATTCCCTCAGTTGGTCCCCTGCATGATGTGACCGGGAACGGCTTTGCCTCTCCGACGGACGTGCCACCAAGCAGCGGAAAGGATGAAGGGCGCAAGTTCACGGCGGCGTCGTGGGGAGCTGGCAACGCAGCAACTCCATACAATTATTTGATGGCCCTGCAGCCATTGTTGCTTTTTCCATTTGTCCATGGCTCTCTACCAGAGTTTGCATCACCAAGCCTCAGTGAAGGTCTTTCCCACATGGCCCGTCTCGGTCCTGTCCCATTTTGCCATTGGATAGCCGCGAGGTGGGCCCTGGTAGACTCCCAGGAGAGGGTGCTGACCATGTACGCCGCTCGCTGAGAAAGAGGTCAGACGGGGCGGGTAGAAGTGGGGAGGGGGGAGGAGGTTTGAGAAGGCTCAAATCCGCAGGGTCGTCGTTTTGCAGACGTTTGATCGGGTTGACAGGGACTGTGCGGCAAGCAGAATGCTGCTCGCCCCAACTTGGAAACTACACAGAGGAAGTGAAGATACCTGAATCATGGTAGTACGCGCCAGCAACCAAAGCGCGCTTTTATAGACATGAGTTGCAATCATTGAGAGGCCGAAATCCTTCACATGTTGAAAGCGAAAGGCAAACCTGATTTCTTGCTACTCAAACCATCCGGGGACGGTCTTTCCGCTCCTTGTTCCTTGTTTTGTGGGTGCATGGGGCCACAATTCTTACCATTGCGACTTGGCAGGGCGTTGCTGCAGCCTTTGTCAACGGGCACGCCTATCAACGGCACCGGAAGGATGATGACATTGCCTGGAGTTGGTTTTCGTCTCTTCAAACTGGTAAGGATGCTGGGTGCTAAATCAACTAAAATATTTTGATTTCTTTCCAGGAAGCCAAGGATTGATCTTTCGAGTTGTCTTTTCCGGGATGGTAGCCGCACAACATGCTGCAATTCCAGGTTTGCCGCCAATGCCAACTGCACCTGTATCTGAGGGGGCAATTGGGGCCCTGTGTCAGCAAGGGCTCAGTTACGTGTTTCACCTTTTTTGTGGATCTTGCAGGCACTGAACACCACCCAAAAGCATGGCAGGCAAATGCCTCTTGTGTAGTGGCTATACGCATGTCGTATTCTTACGTGGGCAATTTGAACACATACGCGCACATAGTTGCATACTGGGGGCACTCCGAGCCGGCCGGCCGACTGAGGACCCGCAGGGCTTCTGGAACGGCACTTACTCCCTCCTGGGCTTGTCCCAGTTCCCAGGGGAGCTGCTGACGAAGGGCCAGCTCTACGAGTACGTGGCCTGGCAAGGAGCACTGGGCTCCTATTCCAACCCTCTCCGGTTTTTCCAATGCGAGGTAAAGTGGGAACCGCTAAATCTGCTTTTCCCGAGGGCGTGGCGCGTCCTCGATATCATCTTACTGGCACTCCCGGGAACCAGCCATGTATTTTGTTATTTCAATTCTTGCCTTTTGCTGCATCTTGGGCTGGTCGCCAAAGCGCGCATAGGTTACACCGATCTTTTGCGGAGTTTCCACTAAAGCCAGGGACCCGCCCCTAGGCTGGCGTTGAAAAGGCGTGCCGTTCTCCCCGCAAGCTTTAGCTTCAGGTGCTGGTCATGGCCTCTGACAGCACCTTCGTGGCCATGCAGGGCGGCCTCATCGCGTCCCTGGCCAGCGCCACCGCATCAGGCCGGAGGCCGTTTTGCTCACGTGACCAACTAAACAAACAGAGCTTAGCCCAGTGGCTAGGCTAGTTCTTTCTGATCTTCTTTGGTGGGTGGGTTGACTTTGTGCTGAGGGTGGCGTTTTCAAGCTTCCATTTGCGTAAGAATATGTTGTATTTTCCCCTGTTGGTTCGAAAGGGAATCTATCACTGCTGGAAACATCGTTTTTTTTCCCCAAGGGGGCTTAAGCAAACGGCAAGGGACACTTCCGATCTCCGAGGCGCCTTCGTGGTGCACTCCGCCCCCTTCCTGGCGGATGGCGACCCCAGCTGCACTGCGGCCGCTGAGCCCATCCAGGGCTTTGCCGTGCAGACGAAGCCCCGCGGCGAGAGAGAACGCGGGGTTGGTTGGCGCGGCAAAAGCTACGCGTTTCTTTTTTTGAGCTTGGTGGCTCCCCGCCATCCGGTTTCTTAGTTTTTTTTGTTTTTGTTTTTAGTTGGTTGAGTGGTTGGGTTTCCATTCAACCCACTAGAAGTTAAACTTTTGGCAGGGGATCTGAGGACAGCCCAGTGATTGAGACAATCTCAGATGGAGCGAGTAGAAGAGATGTGTTGTGCTGGCGTACTCAGCCTCTCAGCCTTTGAAGAGCATGTCACGAAAGGTTGGTAGGGGGGGGGGATTCCTCAGGGTAAGATGTAAAACAGAATGCAAGCTCCATTCGGATGATCGAACGGGACGAAGGAATTCATGCTTTTGGCTGCCCGAACCTTCGCCCCTGCTGAAGCTGTTGTCGTTGGCTTCGCCCGTTTTGGCCAGGCCTTCAGAGTCAGGTTCATAATATGGCATGAACTGGGCGTGCCTTTGTATGCATGTGATCTCCCCTCAACATGCTCAATCCTCCAGTCGCCAACAAGACATGCAGTACGTAGCACTTCGGTAGCCAGTATGACTTATGATGACTTGTGTTCTCAGAAGCGTCTTCCTTGATCTTCTTGGCGCAAAGTGTTACCACCACAGGATCTGCCCATGACGCGCCTTGGAATTGCGCTGCATGCGCTTGCATTCAAACAGTTCAGGTCTTCCCGTCCCAATATGGCATAGAACTTCCAAGGTTCAAGCTGAGCGCAACGAATGTAGTGGATGAGCGAGTGGCGGAGTTGCAATATGCACCTCGGCTCCGCTTCCGACTGGTGGGGGGAGTTTGGGACCCAGTCACTGGTGCAGCTTTGTAAGCGGCTGGTGCGGGCTGGACGCCAGCTGTGTGGAGAAGCGGCAGGAGTGTTCTTGCGCATTGGGAGGCCAGAAGAATCCATCCTCTTTTGGGGATCTCGTGTTTGGTTGCCAATTTTTTTGAAAGGCAAAACTAAAGAGGAACCCCATCTTGTCCTGTGCCATCACTTGTTGTGGCAAAGTTTGGTAGCACCTCTGATGACCTCTGATTGTCTAGTAATTCTCGCAAGGCACGCAGGCCTGACTGCGCGGCCCCTCGTAGCCTCTCTGATGTTTCTTTCGTTTCATTCGAGTGCCTGTTGCAGTCGAAAGCAGCTATGTTGTTTGACACGGTCCATGCAGGAGCTCCTGTGGCTTGGTATGCTCGGGGCATCCTTGGATTGGCTTTTGAGCATGCACCTGTTGCTGCAAGTGCTTTTCCCTCTTGAAACCGCGCCTTCCCTTGGCGAGCGCGGGGTTCCACGGGATTTGTTTTTTCTCAAATGGCTTCCATGGCATGGCCCGGAGCTCCTTCGGGCCTCGGCTTCTGGCTGAGGTCTTCTACCAATTTCCACTCGCCCAGCTGGCGGCTTTGGCCGCAGACCTGGGCACAGCGGTGACGGCCCTGGAGCCGTTTGGCCAGCAGGGGCTTGGGCGCGGTTCGTGTGTGGATTCGCCCGTGGCTTTGGGGGGGGGGGGGGGCAAGCGGCGCATGGGTGGGGCCCATTTTTGGGAGTTGGCCTTCGTTTTGAGAGAGGTCTCAGAGGAAACGGACCTCTCAACCCAGGAGCAGGGGAGGCCGTCAGATCCATTGGGCGGCTGAAAGTCAGCACCAGCTACAGGTCAGGGCTGGACGCCGAAAATGGCTTCCTTGACAGCTGCTCTCTGTCAGGTTTGGCCATCCAAAGAGCTGGCACTTGCTTTTGTTTGGAATGGCTTGTGGATTCGATATACACGTCAGGTGGAGCAACTACAGCAGCGACAGCTACTGGGTGTCTCAGGGCGGCGTGATGCTGCAAGACTGGCCGGGGGCCCAGACAGAAAGTCGCCGCACATTCCGGGGAGCAACAAAACCAAAGGGGAACCCAACTTGCCACGTGACGGGGGACATTGGGAATCGGGCCCCTTTGCGCGAAGGCACTTGGTGCGTTTGGGCTACTTCAAGCCCGTGAGCAGTGGCGTGGGAGGAATGCCCTTTGACAAATCCCCTATTTAAAAACCAGACCTTGTAGTGGCTCCCAAAGTTCCCATACGCGATTGGTGCTGTTAATTTTAATGAGGAAAACACCCATCAAAATGGTTTGTGGCCACGACTTTTACGTTGTCCACCCACCAAAGGGTTTTTCAAAGATTTGTTTCAACACCACCACTAGGACACCCGAAGCGAAGGCAGCGGATTTTCTGGAATCCACAGTTCTCTGAATCCCATTGAATCCGTGGGCACCTTCTTTGAGAGGGGAAATCCCGACCGGACGAATCTGTGGCCAGTGGCCACCTGTGGCCGCGTGGCTCAGATCGCGCTCTCAGGTCCAAGGCCTCGGTGGTGGACTCGGTGCTGCCGGTGGGGGACTTCGTCACGGTGCTGCGCATCCGCCCCTCGGCGGCAAGCGGCAAGCGGCGAGCTCGGAAAACCAGCGGCCAGCCGGTTTTTCGCGGGTGGCGTAGGTTGGGAGCATGCGTCAGGTCAGATGGTTGGGTATCTCTTGTTTTGAATTGTTGCTTGGAAATGGATGGAAGGAGCTGCTACTTGTAGCTGATGCATGGAAATTGAAGCAGTAGATGATGGCATCCAGGTGAATACCTCCCACTGCCGAAAGAACACGTGCCCTTCTTCCCTCATAGGCATCTACTCGAGGTTTGGTACCTATCATTTCAATCCTTGCCAAAAGACAAACCAAAGGCTATGTGTTTCACCGGATTTTCCGATTTTGCACGTGGCATCCGAACCTTTTAGAACCCCTGTTTCTCTACCTTCATTTCCTTTGGCCTTTTTAAGCCACACAATCCCCCCTGCCCCTCCCCCCTTCCCCCCCCACCCTCCTTTCCCCCCCACTCCACGCTTCGCCCCACCCAGGCGATTACCTGGGCGCCGTGGCCCTGGCCTACCTGGCGGGCCCCAACATCTCGGCGCCCACCGGGGGCGTGGACGTCGCCACGGCCGCCGCCGCGCTGAACTCCGCCGTGGCGCTGAACTCGGCGCGGGGGGCTGCGGGGCGTCCGCCTGGTTCGCGCCGCGCGGAGGGCGGGTTTTTTGAGAAACCGCCCCTGAGGTCGATTGACGCTTGGAATCCAAGATAGGGAAGAAGCAACAGCTTTGAAAAACCAACAGGGGACAACAAACCATATACTAGATGCGTTTCAGCAAATGGAAGGAGGGAGTTGCGAAACCTCATTTTTTTGCGGCCAGAACCTTGCCACGAGGCTAAGACGGGTGCCCTCCAAAAAAACTGCACGACATGCGGGAAACCGACGGTTATTCATCTAAAACCACAACCCAAGGCGACCTTAGGGTACCATCCACAACCCCCCACGGCTTTGCGGGACACCGACCTTTTGGGGGCTTCAAGCTGACAAGAAGCACGAAGTGGTGGCGCAAGACTGATCCTTTGGACCAGGTTGCAAGCACAAAATGGGAGGGTAAAAGGAGATCATGATGAAGGCCCGCTGCTGGAATCTTCTATGATGTCCAGTTTTTGCAAATGTTGTACGAAAGGGCCGTTGGGTGGGATTTGTCAAGCGCGCTGACGTTTTGAACGCAGCAAGAGTTTTTTCGGGGAGCACGGCGAACAATCCCAATCCTGGAGACTGACAGGGTCCCTGAACGTGTGGTCTGCAAGGATGCCCTCAAGCCAGCGGCAGATTGTGTCTGCGTTTGAGGAGCCCTTAGTGGTGCAAATTTGGCAGCAATCACGTGGATGTTGGTGAATTGGTGGATGCTAGCCTCCCCTGTACATGAGCTCTGTGAAGACACAACTCGACCTGATTGAATGCCGCACTTGGCAAAAGCAATGTCATGCAGGATTTTTGGTAGAACTTAATCTTCACAAAGCCGTTTCGTAACACATGTCCAACCAACTATTCTTCAAACAACTGCTTTCCCGGAGACGATTCTGGTCTTGCTTAAGCTTACCCCATTTGCCAACCCAATGCTGTAAAACTCCCCCACCCACCCACCCGCCCGCCCGCCCGCCCACCCACCCACCCAGGGTGTGTGTGTGTGTGTGTGTGTGTGTGTGTGCCAGTTGCGGCAGGCCAACGGCATCCTGAACACCGTGGATGCCGTGAGCTCCGTGGATGTCAACGGCACCGAGGAGGAGATCAACGCGGCCGCCCGACGACTCGGGCGAGTTTGGGGCGGTGGGGGAGCGGTTTCGGGGCTGATGTGAATGGAAGCGAAAGGCGGGTTGGCTTCCTTGTTGTCTCATTTAAGTGGTCCTTGTTCGTGTGGTTCACGTTGTTTTTCCTTCTTTTTTTGAGGTGGGGAAACCGGTTTCAGAATCGACGACCAACAATGGGCGCCATTTTTTGCCCATGGGATCTGTGAGTCCGTAAAAAAAGGGATCAGCCCTTCCCAAGGCGTGGGTCTTCAATGTATGCCAACCCACGCTTCTTGCTTTCCATGTTTGGGGAGGTGCCCTGGCACGTCCGACTTTACGTGACATTGGTCACTGCAGATGTTGCACATCCGTTGATATATGTCAATATGTCCATTTGAAACTTGGGACGTGGGTTCCCAAGGCTAGTTTCAGAGAGCAACTCCACATCCCGCTCAAAGCGCTGGAGGGTACACTAACCAGAGGGCGCATTTTTTTTCTCCTCTGGTTTTCTGAACACATGGTCCCCAAGACCCCAACACGTTCCGGCGAGCCAAAAGGTAGTGGCTCAAAAATCAAAATCCGATGCTGCGGCTTTCTGGAAAGAAAGGGATGCATGCAGGTGACGCCCGCAACTCGGGTTTTGCCTTATCTGCGAATCTGCCGGCGCCTGGGGATCCGAGGTGGTCGGGGCCTCCATGTCGGCCCTGGAGACGGCGTCGCAGCTGGTGGCACCAGACGCCAGTACCCTGCAGAAGGCCCTCTGAAACACCCCACTTCAAAAGTTTAGCCAAACCGAAAAAGAGCTTCCTCTACACATGAGTCACATGAGGCCAGTTTGTATTGTTTTTGGGGAGGGGGGTTGTTCTTACAGGACTTCATCCCCTTGGACTCCGGTGTTTGCTAGTTTGTCATGTAGGGAGTAGCTTTCACTTCGATGAGTCGGCGGCTTTGAGGAGGCGCGGCATGCCTTTTGCACGCAGGTGGGGAATGTGCTGGCCCGGACGCTCTCCAGAGGCACCAGCAGCACCAGAGACAAGCGCCTTGGCAACTGGCAAGAAGAAATGCCGAGGGCATCCCCTCTTGCAAGGGCATACCACGGCATCCATTCAAAAAGCAACAACACAACACACACACACACAGAATCAATCAAAGTGTGAGAACCAGTTCCAAAGACACAAGGCCTGTTCGTACCGTGCCTTGCGCTGACCTGTTTGCGACTGGACTGGATGTAATCTGGCTATCGTCTGACTGCCGGCATGACTTGTTTTTCTCTAGCACTTTCTCTGTAGCCCTTGATTCATGGGAGTGACGGACCCGCATGTTGCAGGCTCTTTTCTGCGAAGTGTCACACCGGTGGCTTTTCACAAATTAGCGTGTTTGCTTACATTGGCTTTTGGGGTTTGTTGTGACACATTGTGGGTGAACATCACAGGTGAAAGGGCGCCGAGCCTCAGCACTGGCCCTTTTCATGTGACCAGGGCTCCCTACATTTCCCCTTTAAGTGATTAAGCTTTAAGCTTGCTTTGTCACGGGGGACATCGGGAGCCGACTAAAAGCACCTCGCGTCTGCCCGGGCGCGAGAACCGCCCGGGGTGGCCCGACAAGCCGATCGCCCTGCGCTCAGGGCGATGCTGTCGCGGGCCTCGGAGGTGGTGGACACGGTGCTGACCACGGCGCTCCAAGGCTCCGCCCAGGCGCGGTGAGCCGTGAGCGCGAGGTGAGCCACGCGGCGAGGGGGATCTTAGCGAGAGGTGGTTGAAAGGGAGCCGTTGGGGAGCTGCTTGAGGGCTGGGGGTTAGGCATGCTGGGGGGTATCTGAATTTGCTTTTGCAGCTGGGGAGCTAAGGAGCCAGCAGTTCTGTAAGCACATGGCAGACTTTTCAGGCGACGGAAAATGGAAATGGAAGGCTTCCATGATCTCCAGGTGCCGGTTGCGGTGGGCGCCACGAGGGTTTTTGCGGGGCATTGAATAATTGTCCCTTGTGCCCAGACCACCTTGTGCCTACATCGTGTTGGCCTCAAACCAAAACCTAGTCCCCAACCAGAGACTAAATCGAAAAACCGAGCCCCAAACTGGTCTGACCCTAGACCAAAACATAGACTCATCAAAACCAAAAGCCTCCAATGCCAAAACCCTCAAGTAAGTCGTGCTGGGCCGGAAAAGTAAGCCGTGATGAGTTGGGTGAGCAATTTCAAGCCGGATGTCCATTTAGCTGGGGGGCAGCGAAACCCTTATATACCCTTTGGGAGACAAAAGCGCGTCCTTGAACTATTGTTTTGTGATTCCAAGAGCCAAGCAGGTGGCTCCTTGATGTTGGCTATTTTGTGTGGGGTGGGCCAGCGCCATTTGGGACTGGAATGACTTGTTCTGCCGATGATCAGCGGTATGGGAGCCATAAGCTTTATGGTCCGTTCCCAAAGTTCAGCCCACATGGCAATGCGCCGAGTAATGTCAGCAACGCCCTGGTGGATCAGGGAAATCCTTCACTTTCCGGGGGAACACCACCCATTTAGGGGTAGGTGAATTCACCACCCATTTTAGAACCTATTTTAGTGGTTGGATTGGGATGTTCACTGGGGGTACCATTCGGGCTTTGACCCATGGCCATGTTGGAATCTACATCCGCGCGTCTGGCGCCAATGCAGCTCGGCAGGCCATCAGCACCGACGCGGGCAACGCCATCATGTCCGGCCTGGTGGCCACGTCCTGAGAGTGCCGATCGGTCGGGAGGTCCACCCTGTGCTCGTCATTGTCCCCACGAGACATGGTCAACCACCAAAAGGGTTCCATGTTTCTAGCAGCTCTGGTCTCCACCAAGTCCCCCAATGCCTTGCCCTTGGTGGGGGTAGGGGGGGAGTGGGTGGAGGTCAAGCTTATTCGGCCCTCCAACTCCAGTTCCCAGGATTCTCGTTCGGCTCAGGCGCAAGTCGAAGTTGTTCTGAGTCTTTGGTCACTCATGGTTGGCGCTGAAAATAGCTGGCAACACGTTTTGTCTCAGGCTTTTCTGGGAAAGGAGCACACATGACAGTTAGTAGGAGTTCCCCCTAAACCTGTTTCGCTGAAGGGGCCCCCTTGAAAGGGAAACCACTCAGGGACCCAGGTCGTTTAAACAACTGCGGTGCTTGTTAGCATGTTTTAGCAAGGACACCTACAGCCTAACGGGACAACGAATGGAAGCCGAAAGAAGATTCTTAAGGGTTCCCTTTGTCTTGCTGGCTTTCAGGGCATGAAGAAATGACCTCTATGGACAACCCCTTTGTGACCCTTTGGCTTCCTCTTGGATCCTAGGGCGTCCCTCATGTTGCTTGGCGCGAGGCCATCACTTCGGCCAACGGGGAGGGCACGGCCTCTGCGTCGGAGTCTGCGGCTGTGGCAGCCCGGGGGGCCCAGGGAGACCCAGGGTCGCATGGGCTGACCGGATGCAGAGAGCCCAGGAGAAGCAAAAGAAACTGAGTGAAGCAAAAGGGGGTACACTTGGCGCTTAGCACCTGCTGTTGAGGAGGCCGTCGGGTGTCTGTGCCGCAGCTGTTTGGCCGCATTGCGGCTCCAGAGGAGGACAACCATGCTTGAACCAAGCGCGCCACTGCGAAACACAAGAGATGCCATGTCCCTAAGACGTCACGCCAATTCGTTTGCGACCCCTCTGGGACATCGACCCTCTGCCCACGTTCTTCCAGAAACCGACCTGGGGTGTCATGCTCATCGTTTCTGCTGTCGTGCTTTGGGCAGCAGCATTTAAAATGGATGTTGGAAAGGAGCCTTTAGCAAATCAGCTGAAAGGAAGCTCGAGGGCTGATATGCAACACACAAAGGGCCAACATATGCCAAAATGAACGGACTCAACAAGTGCTCCCACGCTGCTTCATGGTGCTGAAAAGGGGATGGCTTGGCTCCCCCCGCAGTCCCACAGCCACCACAAACCTCAAGGACGAAAACGGGGCTGATTTCCCACATTGGATCAGCCTCCCAAAGACAACAGGGCTCCTTAAAAGATGCATTTTGCCCAGTTGAAACAAGGCTTCTTCCACCAAAATAAAGGGACACCACCATTTGCAAGGCAATGTTCAGGTGCAACATGTAAGGATCCCTGGACAAGAGAAGCCACGCCGCCATGGCGGCGCGTTTGCTGTTGCTGTCCTGGCTCGGCCTGGCGGCAGGCTGGCAGGGGATCCGAAGGGGTGTGCGGTGTTGACGGGGCTTCGAAGTTTTTGGTTGGAAAGCTCCGTGCAAGTGAAACCCAGGAAAGGGAACCTGCATGTACTTTGTTTGAATATCCTCTTGGTTTTCATTGGCATTTGCTTCATGCTTGAGGGCTCGGGTCAGCTCGCCGCCGGATCATGCTCAATCTGAAGTCCATTCTAGCTTTCAATGGATAGTGGGATGTGAGCATCTTGTGGGCTTCCCGGCGGATTTTATATACTCCTGGCAGCGGGGCGAGAACATCCGCGTCTCCTGCTGCACAGGGAAATGGGAAACGAGGGCATGGCTTGATTTTGGGACCAGGCTTGCGAGGCTTGTGCCCTTGCATCGGTTGGCTCCTGGCGATTTGATAGCCGCAAGTTTTGGCAGGTGTGGGTTCTTGAGACCTCAACTTCGTGATTCTTGTCCTGGTGGGGCGGGTTTCCGGCGGATTCTGGAGGCAACCCCCGCCCTCCAACCTGCCACCGGCGAGGCCAGGCAACTGCTGGCCTGCTGCTGCGACCCAAAGAGCTGCAGAAGATCAAGGGCTCATTGGGCCGAATCAGCGATGAGGTTCATTCCATCCTGGGGGTCTTGGAGGAGCCGCGGGGCTGCAAGAGGCAACCCCTCAGGTCAAGGGACAGGGAGTCTTGAAAGGGGGTTCTAGGTTGCCTTAGTAGTGAGTGAGATTGGGAAAAGCGTACAGCTACTTGCTGCGCCGCGGGTGGCATCATCGGCCGAGGTCAAACGTCGGGATTGAGGCGGCTGAGGACATCGGTTTCTTGCCACACGTTCATGGTGACACGAGTTCACGTGGTTGGTGCTGATGCAGACAGCTGTGAGGCCTTCTGAGGCTTCTCGCCAGCGTTTAATCACGACGCTGCGGTACTTGCAGCGTGTTTGTACTGCAGCGTGTTTGTTGTGGCCGCAGCTGTTGCGAGCTGCATAGACAGTTCGTTGCCCAGACTGCCACATCCTTCTTCCTGATTGCAGCCGAGTTGCGAATGCAAGACGCCAACTCACATTACCTGTCTAAGGCTCCGTCTTGCTGTACTGATCCCTATGATCCAAGTCACCTTTGAAACTAGCGAGCCTTAGTATTCAAGCCGAATGGGAAGGCCGAAGCCTTCCAACCCAAAAGGGATGCACAGCTGGCCTCCAGGAGGGTGGGCTCCTGGGTACCTTACAGGGGCTCAGTGAGCAGGTGGAGCGGCGCTGGCACCTGGGCTGGTGCGGGGTTGTTGGGTGTTTGGGGCGGAGGGTGATCAATGGTTGCAGTTGTTCTTTTGTGTTCTTTGTGGGGAAGCATCCAGCCTAGACCTCCCATGTTTGCGGCGACTCACCTCGAAGGCCAGTGACACTGTTGGATGCATGGCGTTTATTGCTGGTTCCAGGGGCATGGGATTGAAGTGAAGCTGAGGCCAGGGCCGGAGTCAAACAGGTCAGGATGTTTTGGTGGCCATAGCCACGGATGCAAACACTGACAAGAGAGCCCAGGATCGCGCCGGCAAAGGCGCCGCCGCTGAACCAGTCCTTTGCGGATGCCTCGGCGCCCTCGGCGCCCTCGGCGAGGCGCCTATCATTTTGTGGCTTTCTGGTTATTAAGGCTGTATGTCGGTTACTAACCCGCCCCACTTCACAACTTTCCCCAGCTCTCCTTCTGTACAGGTGGGCGCAGCTGCGGGAGCTGGGGCTGCGCTGGTGGCAGCGGGCGCTGCATTGGGGCGAGAAGATGCCGCCCGGCGATCGATCCGATCGATCCGGGTACGGGTGGGCATGGACCGCTTAAAAAGGGGGCCTCGCACTTCCACATCTCCAAATCTACCTGAGCATGTGCCTGAAACGTTTCAGAGTCAGGGCTACATATGCGTGTCTCTGTTTTTTTTTGCTTGTCCGTCCGTGTGCGAGAGGCTTTGCTTGTTAATTGAAAGTGTTCTGATCGCATTTGAGGGTTCTCGATTCCACTGTTCGGCGGAGCAATGGCATGACTTAGGATGTGGTTCGGCCTCTTCGTGCTGGATGTCTCTGTGGTCATCGCCATGATGCCTCTCTCTTCAAATCAGACAAGACACGACATAGCCCTCTGTTGAGGATGTGAAGGTTCATTTATTTGGTTTAACTAGTTTTATTGACCATGTCGGCCGCGACATGTTTGACTTTTGATCTTGCCCTTGTACACTTTTACCTGCTTGGCAGTGCGTCGGCTGCTTCCACGTGATCATGTAAACATACTGGCAGTGGAAGCAAGCTTGAAAGCAGCTTGGCTAGCGGCTAGAGGCAGTCCAGTGGTCTCCAAACCCCAAAGCCACGTACCCTCCAAGCGTCCGGGCTCAGCCCAAGGTGAAGGCCGCTCGCTCGCCTCGGCTTGAGGCTCTTCTTGGAGTCCCTGGGCCGGCCGCGCCGGAAGTCTCGGGCCGCGCCGCTCGGCACGCTGTGGGGGCACGGGGCGGCCTGAGTTTGGCATCCAGGCTGCCTGACATAGGCCAATGCACACTCGGTTGCCCATCCTTGGCCAATTCATACTTTTGGAGCCACGGTGGTGGGTGAAGGGCACCCTTTGCAAAGGCAGCCTTTGGCACCAATGGACAAACAGGTGTGCATATCACTTGGCAGTTGGCCCGCTGCCTTCTTCCAGACTGCTTAAGGTATCAAGAGGGGGGTGGGGTGGAGGTTATCAATCAGGGGTCAGCATCAAGAGTGACTGGAGCATGCTTGAGCTGGCGTTCGGCATGCATTGAGTCCAGTCTAGTTGGTTGCTGTCTTGGGTAAGTGGACAGCTCAGGCGGCGGGCCCGCTCGTCGCCGGATGCCTCGCCAGGCATGCAGAGACAAGGGCAAGACCCACTTGGACATGTCTGTTTTTGAGGTCACCCTGCTTGGGTGTTGTTTTGCAGAGAAAGCAAAGAGGACCCCGCTCATTTTGGACCATGGTTGCACTAAGGGAATACTTTGAAGTTGTCCCCTTATGCCCAGCTTGGACGGCGTTGCAATTGAAGGCTGCTAAATGCCAGCCAGGACGTCCCAAGTGCCCTGTGGTCTGTTGAGAGCATTTTCGGGCTGCCAGGGTGCCCCCTGCCCCGGCGAGAGGCACGCCCATCCCGGCGCCCATGGGCCGTGAGAGCTCCCAGTGGCTGGCATGGCTGTCGCAGGCATCGGGGGGCAGAGGTCAGGGATGTGCCAACATCCAGCTGCTCACTTGCTGGTCCCTTTGTTTCCGATTCTTGCCCATGGTGCCATGAGCAATGGTTTCAGTGTGCTTTTTCTGCTACGGCGCCGGCCATTCGGGGATGCCAAAGTCATGTTTTGGACAGGAAGCAGGATCTTAACTGCCTGGCTCATGGCGCAATTGTGGATTGAGGGCTTTCTCAACAGCAAATCGTTTGTCAGGCATTTCCCCTGACTCATGTGCAGCATGCACAGCTGAGCAGGAAGATATCGTCAACATGTGGTCATCCACTTTTCATGGCCAGGGCGGGAGGCCAAGGAGCGGGCACCGCGTATGTGCATGCCCAAATTGCGCACCATGCTAGGAAGAGCTGCTAGCAGCTTGCCTCAAGGCGCGCGGGAAAACAGGGCAGCGGGGGCTACAGGGTCTATCAAACGTTTGACATGTACATATACATATACATGCCCATATACATATACGTACACACATACACACACATATAGTATATATAATATAAATATATATATATATATACATATACGTATGTTTACACAGATGCAGACCGACATGGAGACTGACATGTCAAACAATGAATGTACAAATGTATAAACCCACGCGCACGACAAGACATCCTGGACAGGACTTGTCGGGTTCCATGTGAATATTCTTGGGGTGGCGCGGGAAGGCTCCCTCGACAGAGCTGATCAACAAGGGAGGGTTTCAAATCAGAACTCATGCAGGGACACTTGCTTGCTGATCTCGGCTCTGCACTCCCCTGGGCAAAATGCTGGGGGAGGTCATATGCTTTGGAGGCATTCTAGCTGCACCTCATCCTGAGTGAACTTGAACCTCTCTTCAATCTTCAGCATTTAGCTTCACAACTTGGACAGGTCGGCAGTTGTTCACTTTCTGTTTGGCCAAGCTGAATCATCAGCATTTAGCCAGTTTGTTCGAAGGATTCCGAACCTGTGGCAACTCGGGCCATTGCCTCCAAAGCGGCTGGTTGGCATTGACTAAGCACAGGGCTACTCCAATGGCACCGTGCGCGCCAGGATCACTGGTTCAAGTTTGTCCTGGGCCTGGTGCTGGCATTCTGCGTGCGCCTGCCGCACAAGCTCCTTCGGAAGGCGCGGGGATCAGGGGCCGGAAGCTCGGGCACATCGGTCCGTGCGGAGCACCCACAAGAATTTACCGCGAGAATCCCAATGAGAGCCTTACCCTTCCACGCGAAAACGCATGGAAACTTACCCACCCACCTCCAGCAAACAGTTTTTCTCAAGCCCTCAGGAGGCGCGCCTTTTGTTTCCTCAAGCACCCTTTCAGCCAAACCGAAAGGCAACGCCTCGCTCCTCCTGCCTTTTGTATCCTTTTGTTTCCCCTCACACCTTGCAGCCAAACCTAAAGCCATCCCTTACCAATGCCTTTGGCTTCCCCACCTGCTCCTTTCCTTTTTCCTTTCCAAGGCTCTCCAAGGAGAGCCTTTTTTTCAGAGCCTTTGGTTTCCCCACCTCATTTTTGGCATTTTTGCCTTGAAAAGATAGCTTTTCTTCAGAGCCCTTTTCCCCACAGTTTCTGCCTTTTTGCCTTGAGAAGAGCCTTTTCTTCAGATTTTTTGCCTTTTTGCCCTGAGGAGAGCCTTTTGTTCCATTTGCTGGTGAACGTGTCCATGACTTTGCGGGTGGTGGGCCTAGCGCTGGTGCTGGTCCGTGACCTGCTGGCCCCTCCCGCGGAGGTGGCCCGGGAGACGGCGCCTCGCTGCCTCGCGCGGATGGGAGGGGGCGGGTTTACCGGCGCCTCATTTTGCAACCATTCGAAACATGGCTTTTTCCACCCATATAAAGGGAAACCACCATTTACAAGGCAATGTTCAAAAAAAGGAACGTCCCTAGGGACTCCCTGAAGCAGTTAACGACAACAAGCATCAAGCAACACGTAGCACTGACCATTTGATTAGATGAAATCCACCCTTAAACGGGAGAACTTCCTGCAAAACGTGCGGTTCTTCTCTTTGGGTTCCTTGTCAAAAAAGGGAATGGGCGCAAAAAAACGCGAGCAGACTTCCCGCGAGACAGGGATCTCCCTTGATAATTGTTGGGTCAACATTGCTCAAAACACATCAGACAATTTGATAGATGCGCAAGTGAGCACATATTTCAAAATAGAGGCCAGTTGTCTTGTGATGTGCGGGTGTGCATGCGCGTGTCTTGTAGCGGATCGAAGGATTCAGGCCGTCATTGTTAATGCTGATTGACACATGCACAGGCGCTCACACACAGTGTTTATTGTTGCATCAGGGACTCTGAGCGCTGGATGCTTTGGGTGGGTTGGAACTGTTTGCTCCGAAATGCGGGATGTGGTCCATGGTCTTTGATGGGTGTCTAAGCTACTAGCTCACCTCAATTTGCAGCAACACTTGGCAATCTCCAGAGGTCAACGTGCTGGCAGAGCGCGGAGTTTCGCCAAAACGGCCAGCGAGCTGAGGGGCGGGAGTTAGATTCAGGATCGACACCTTCGTTTGTCTCTGGGGTTGCCTGTTTGTTTTCTGCTTTTTTACCCAGATAGCCGTGTCTGGCCTGCTTTTTGTTTCATTCAATGAGTCAATGTGCAGATGGAGGGGTTAAAGACACCGCTTCCGGCGACTCGCCCAAAGTGGCCTGTGACGCGCCAAAGATGTTGGCCCTGGATTCATGAGCTGGAAATTGGTTCGGCGTGGCCAGTTACCAATAACTCTACCCTTGCCAACCCGGTTTCAGCAGTCCTGCCTCAGGGCGGAAGGACCTTGCTCATGTACGACCGATGTTTTACTGACTCAAATCAGGTTTGCAAGCAGCAAGGCTTTGGCCGTGTTCCAATTGGCCGAAGTGGCACCCCCTTGGCATTCCCTTGGCATCCCGACTTCGTCGCCTTTCCCTCGGCGCATGAAACATGCAATCGCCGTGTTTACCCACGCTTTGGCCGGGATCCAGTGGCGCTGGCAAAGAAGGGCGTGCGGGTGGCAAAAGGGTGGCTGGGGCCTGTGCTCGAAATTGGGAAGGGAATTTGCAAACTCATTGCCTGCAAGTTGCAGAGCTTTGGACACTCTCTTTGTGCCCTTGCTAGAATGCGCTTTGGATGTTCATGGTTGTTTCTGTACCTCGCATGGTGCGAGGCGGAAAACTGGGTCAAAGGCCTGTCTGTCCGATATTTTTGCCACAACTTTTTCTCTCACTGTCCCAGGCATTCACCCTTGTCCTCCATGCTTCCAGGTAGCGAACCGAACGTTGTTTTGTTTCTTGCCGCCTGCCTGGCAGGAAAGGTGTAAACCCAAGGCTTCAGAGCTGTCAAGCGAAGCACGCGGCCGATCACGCAACCTCGACAGGCATCTCCAGAGTTGCGCCGTTGTAAAGCAGAAAATGGTTTGCCGCATTTCTTAGCGAATCGGCTAGGCCTCGATACCCCCCCCCTTATTTGAGGCCAAAGCCATGGGCCTGGTGGCCAAGCTGGGCGAGGCGTGCTGGGTGCTGTTTAGTTGTCTCTGGCCTGAGACGCTAAACCATGGCCTGTTGCCGCTGACAGGGATTCCGGTCTTGGTTTCAATCCCTCTTCGCGTTGGGCTTTGGAAAAGATTGCTGGGAAGAATGTGAGGATACAGCGGGAACAAGACACGTCAGCATGCAAGCACGCACGCACGCACGCAGGCAGGCAGGCAGGCAGGCAGGCAGGCAGGCAGGCAAACAAGCAAATCTAACGAAAGACACCCCGAAATATGAAACTCTGTTTCTTGGTGGTGTCGCCTTTGTTTTTCTTCAAGACCGTCCGAATAGGGGGGCAAGTTTGAGTCGACACATCCTCATTCCGATCCCTCTCCACCCTCAAATGGCACGGGGGAAATAAATGTTCAACACGTGTGGTTCCATTTCCACTTTCTGGAAGAACAAGTAAGCACATGGAACTGCGGACCCTGCACTCACCCTAAAGGTTTCGGTGGATTGTTTGCCATCAGCTTCCTGCCCATTTTATGGTACCTCAGTCCTTTAGGAACCCTCTCATCTGAGGTTCGCCCCATCCTTTCCTGCAACTGAGTGACCCCTTTCCACTTTCGGCCTTGCTCAGGGTTGCCCTGAGAAGATTGGTTTCCTCTTGCCAAGGGGCCACATGCCCAATTTGTGCCGATCTTTTCAACAACCTTTCTCCTTTCTTTTTGGAGGGTGGGTGGGAGGGTGGGTGGCTTCCCCGCTAGAAATCGTCAGCACCCAGAAGGTTTAAGCCCTGATATGATAAAAGTGTACCAAGGTGAGGTATGCTTTGCGCAAAAAGGAACAGAGGGTCGGTCACCTTGAATGGCTTCAAGTTCAATGGGGCTTGACCATTTCCCCCAGACCTCAACACCTTCTTTGGCTTCACCAGGCGGTGCTCAGCGCCAGCGCGGAGAACGAGACCGTGGTGTTGAGCTCCGTGGACGCGGACGGCAAAGGCTCTGAGAGCCGCCTGGGGAAGGGCAACGCCAATGCGGCGGCGCCGGCGCCCCAGGGCCCCGGCGGGTGGCGGGGCGGTGGGCAAAAGGAAAGTTCCGGCGGTTGGGAATGAACTGAAGGAAGGTTGGGACGTTTGAAGCCTTTGGCCCTCAGAAAGATTCAAGGAGCAGCTTAAAAGGGCCTGACAAGGAACCCTTTGATTAGTAGAGGAAAAAAACAAGCCCCAGAAGAAAGGGCTCGCCGTCCCCCCTTTCCCTTTTTCAGGGCTTCTCTTTTCAATACGCAAGTCAAAATGCCAGCCTCAGAAAAGATGCGGCCAAGAAGTTCTTGGAACATTACGTGCGGAAGTTTGGTTGCGGGATCATGTTTCGAGACATCAATGGAGCCTGCAGAGAAAAGAAGCGGAGTCGGGTTTCCTGTCAGGGAATCTCTGGGTTCATTTTCAAGACCCTTGGTCATTCCCTACTGAGCACCAACAAGATAAAGGAGATGCGTCCAAACGAAAAGCTGTGCAACCAGGAGCCCTCATCCCCTGCTTAGAACCGGCAAGTTATGTGGCTGTGGCTCAAGCAAATGGTACCTTGGCAAAGGGAACCAAAGACCAAAACCTCCGTAACCCCGGCTCTGTAATTTTGAGCCACGCCCGTGTGGATTTGTGCGCCTGAGGCAAGGCTTCGGAGTCCCCGGCGCCTCCGTGCGCGCGGGCGTCATCCCGACCGCCGCGGCAAGCGGCGCTGCTGGGCGGCGCCTGCAAGGATGCAGCCGCCCGGCAGAGGTTTGCCTGTGGTGGGGTCAATTCCCCAAATTCACATACCCAAAAAGCAGACAAGGGGGTTCCACAAGGATCCAAAAGGTAGATTCCTCTAACATGTCTTCTTGGGCTCCATGTTGATCAAGGCACCACAAGGGGATTGATGTCCACGAACCTTGAAATTCATCGCCTTGAGGAGCAAGAACGGAGTTTAGCGTCACGCTATGCCAGGGCATACGGGGCATTGGTGCGGGGTGTTGCTGCAGGCCATGACGCTTTGATCCAAGACTTAACATTTTGGACTCGGGCCAGGCTCCTTGGATAAGTACCAGGGAATGGCTGGGACGCATTTGTTGCAAGGTCGGGCCCTGATCCTGTTTTCATGTCTTGAAATGAAAGCTGCCTGGTTTGAGGCACGCGCAGTACTGTAACGCTGACCAGTACTGTAATGCTGACCCCGGTTTGTGCCAAAGCCTTTTGTGGTGCTAGTCTTTGTATAGCGTTTAGATCTAGCATGCATGTGAGGCTTCTTGAATTACTGGGCCTGTTCGCCGTTCGCGCCTACCCGCGCCCTACAGTGTTCGTTTCTTTTTTTTCAGGACTTGGCGTTGGCGGAATTACTCTGAAGGTCTTAGCCATGTTCCCAGCCTTCAAATTCAACATGAACGAGTCACCCTGAATGGGTTTGCATGTACGCTGTGTGACGAAGCCAAGTGGGTTGAGTCGGTGAGGGCCGTGAGGGCCGTGTGCGTGAGAGCGACGATGAGCCACGCCTCTCAGGCACTGCCGGCGTGCAGTTCACTCAGTTCTTTAAGTCGAACCCCTACTCCTGGGCCAATGCGAGTTTTGGCCGCCCGGTGATTTTACGATTCATACGCAACGGTGAGGCCTACAGCCCAAATGGTGCGTGTCTGCCGCTTTTGCTTCTTTTTCTCTTCTTTTTTCTTCTGTCTCAGTGTTCGTTTGTTTTGGGTTGCTTCTGTTTGCTTTGGATTGTTTTGACATGTTTCAGCTTGTGTTTGATTTGTTTAGGAAATATTTGGCTCCTTTTGTTTGTTTGTGCCTGAGCACACGTATTTGTGTTGGTGTTTGTTCTTGTGCTTGTGTTTTGAGTTTTACGTGTGGGTGGGTGGGTGGGTGGGTGGGTGGGTGGGTGGGGGGGGCATGCTTGCCCGTGAGCGTGTGCGTGCGTTCGGCTAATAAGTGCTTCTGTGTGCATGCTTGCGCGTGTGATTTGTTCCTTGCGCTTGCTCGCTTGCTGGATCTCGGTATTTCTAATTCTAATGGCGGCAATGTCTTGCATGGCATATTCCCTTAGAATCGGAACCAATCTATGTACATACTAAATCTATTGTCTACAGGGCCGAGCCTTGGCAATAACCATGGAACTTGGTGTGCTGGAAGCACTGCAACGTTAGGCCCAACGTGAATGTGCTTTTGTTGAGGGTAGCGTGCTGGCCACAGTGCAAGGGGAACCAAAAAATCTCCAGGCTGCTTTCCAGGTTTCATGTTAGCTCTTGGTAGGTCGCCCTCCCTAGTCCAGCGGACAGATGGACCCTTTGGCGACGTGGGGCTGGGTATATTGGGCACCCATCTGGCCTTCGATGTAGGTCCGTCCCTGTGCGATTTTCAGCCGCAATCCACTTCCCTCACGGGCATAGGTGTATGCCCAGTACCTGGCCACCAAGTGGAGCTTTGATTTCATTTCCCGCTTGGAGGTGTTGGGGGGCACTGGATTTTTGGGGGACGTGATTGGGTGGGGCACCTTCCCACAACGGATGAGCTGAGGCCTCAATGGCGAAATCGCGAGCAATGCCACTGTCTCGTCTTTGCTGCCCCTCGGCCCAAGCCCAGGCTCTGCCTTTTGGCTTGTTTGCGGTTTTTGTGGCTTCATGCTTATCCCCAGGATGCTCAAGCCAGTTTTTTTTTGGTTAGCCCTGAGAATGTTGAGTCCAAGCCGATTTTCAAAGCCAGGAGTACAGTGACAAAGATGTGTCGCGTATAGAACTAGAATTCTTTCACGACTTCACATCATGAACCATGCGCATGCAGCCACCTTTTTGGAGTTCCCCGCGCACACCTCCCCAGCCCACCCCAACCCTCCCACCCTCCCAAAAACCTCCCACCCCCTCAATTCTCCGAACCCCTCCCCAAACCACCACGCCCGACTTCCCCCTCCCGCCATCCTCAAAACTGCCCCCCCCCCCCCCCCCCAAACTCCAAGCCCTCCACCCCGTCTGCCCCCAAACCACCCTTGCCACCCTCATCACAGGGTGACGCAGTGCGGGGTCGCCGTGGACATCTCCTCCGGGGTGGAGGTCGCCGTGGCCTTGCCCGGCCAGGCGGCGCCCTTCGACGTGCCCACCTGCGCCCCTCGGGTTTCGTTTGGGCGGCTTCGGGCGGCTTCGGGTGGAGGGCTGCGGATGGCGGCCAAGGGTTGGGGCGGATGGATGGCCCAGCGTCCGGATGCCCAAGATCCACTAGTTTTTGGTGTATTTTGTTGTCAAGGTTTAATTTGTTTGGGGCCTTTGAGAGTTGGATTGGCCGTGAACTTGTAGCTAAATCATGGGAAGCCACCGTCGGGGTCCAAACGTCCCATTGGCCAATGTATTTGCAATGACTTCATGTTGAATGGGGAAGGACCATCCTTGAAATAGTCGGCGGACATAAAGCCCGTTTCTGTTTTTTCCTCTTTCAAACCCACAAAAATTGGTCGGTCCCCAGCGCTTACTCTCCGGATTGGTCCGTTTGAAGCTGCCGGAGAAGGGGGGGGGGAAGAATGTCAAAAGGGTACCATGTGGAATCTGGAACTTGTTGTCGGCAGTTGCTTAAACCTGCTCAGTTCAAGAGGGTAGCGTGCTGTGCGGGGCCTGCCTTGGAGGTCTTAGGACCGTTGTTTGGGTGGCACGGCCTCAGGTGATTTTCGATGAAGGCGGGGCGCCATGGGGATTGGAAGCGGGCAGGTGGGTGGGCCAAAGTGTTTATACCCGCGCGGGCTACTGAGCAGCTTGAGCAAACAGCCAATGGGTGGTCGCTAGGCTGGGATTTGGACTCAAAAGGAAGGATTGGCTTCCCATTGGTTTGCACCCTTGCCAGCAGATGCCTTTTTTTTTTTGGGTATTGAACGCACCCAAAGTGTGTTCGAACATGTTGGGCCCCGTAGCCATTTTGGCTCAAGCTATCTCCCGGCGTTTGGCAAGTGCGCTGTCTCGTTTTTCTATTCGCTTCAGCATGTCACAGTTGTCTTATTCGCGTTTTGCGCTCGCCTTCGCTCCCGGAGGATCGTTGTCCATCGGTTTGCTGGAACAGCACAGGGATCATGAGCGCGCCATTCAGATGGCTTTTGTTTTTGATGTGAATTGGCGTTTGTTTATGTTTCGCATGTCCTGGGACTGCATGCAGAGCACCGTCTCCGCGGACACTTTCGCGCGGTTGTATGTCTTTCAAGCTGATTCTTATATGAAGCCATTTGGGAACTTCCCACTGAGTGTGCGGTGGCTCTTGTTTGGCTCGGCGAGGTCACGCCAGCTTGCATTTCTTTGTCCATTGAGCCCTTGGAGGGTGACTTTCTTCGTTATTCTTCCTTCATCGCAAAGCCGGCGGAGTTCTTTGATTGCTGTGACCCCGAGTATGATTTTCTTTTTGAAACTGAAGTGGGCATGAGTTTGGTTTATGTTTGTCTGACTGGCCTAGTTCGGCCTGAGTAGGCGCAAGCTCGCGCGGACATGACCAAGGCAGCAAAGAAACCAGCCCGTAGACCCGCGCGCCGGGTCATTCGGGTTCGCGCCAAGAAGCGTAGGAATAATTCGTTTGATGCGATCACTCAGGGGGTCGGTGCTACCGCTCGCGCTTTTGGGACCCGCGGTCGCGGTGCTACCACAGACTGGCTTGATGCGTTTCACCCCGCGCACCTCACATTGCCTCGCGCAGTCGGAGCTTATCTGCCGCTTACAGTTACGGACCAACTTACGACGAACGCAAAACTCATCGTTCTTGGTCCCTGTCAAGCCAGTGCTTCGTCCGGTGGTCGCGTGACCAATTTGTGGACCAACTGCTATGGGTATTCCATGAACTCGTTGACCAACAGCATTAATGCGGCTGGTGCCGTCAATAAGCTGTGTTTCGACGCCATGGAATCAGGCAGTTGGTCAGGAAGCACCGTTACCCCAGCCGCGTTCAGTGTACAGATCATGAACCCAAATGCCGTACAAACCACCAACGGCATAGTCTACGCCGGCCGGTTTCACACCCTCCCTGATTTCACGAACGCCACAGCCATCACTGGGCAGGTTTTCGCGAACAATTTTGTTTCTTTTAACGCGCCTCGCTTGCTTGCTGCAGCCAAGTTAGCTTTCCGCGGGATCAAGGTGAATGCCATACCTTTCAACATGAGTGCCATTTCTGATTTCACGTCATTGGAGCGTGTGTCGGATACGACAGGCACAACACTGGCAGCATCCGAATCCCAATTCGAGGGCTTTGCCCCCATTTGCATTTACAACCCGGACGCCATCCAATTGCAGTTTTTGGTGGCGTGTGAATGGCGCGCGAGATTTGACCTCACAAATCCTGCCCAGGCAGCACACTCGCACCATCCTGTATCGTCCGATCGCACTTGGGGTGACACTCTCAAAACTATGTGGAACCAAGGCCACGGCGTCTCCGATATTGCAGCTGGAGTCGCTAGGGCCGGGGCGCGTGTCGTCGGCAGATGCACTGTCCGCGCCATTGAAGGTGGTGCCGTTCGCGCTTTGCCGATGCTGATGGGTTAGGCTTTAAACTGCCCGAACACGTTTGCTTTTAGTGTTTTCCGATGTCCTTCGTCAATTTTGAACTTTTCGGTGATTCTACCTCTATTGGTAGTGTCAGCTTTGCCATTGTTGGTGTTAATGGGGGTGCTCTCATCAACTATGAGTACCTCAAGAATGGTTTCCTGTCCGTGAACTACGCATTCGCCGGCGACTTTACAGTGGTTTGATTGCATTTACCACCTACCCGCTATTTTCGCGTAGATGCATGGGCGTTGGTAGTTTTTCACAGCTGACAACATCGGACTTTACGCCAGAGTTAGCTCCACTTCAGGTTTGGCCAGACTGGAACTATGTGATACTGAGTGACCACCGTCCAGTAACCTGTTGGATTTCAGCCCAGGACGACGACCCTCTTCTTCCTGCTGAAGCCAACGACCGTATTGTGCTTTCACAGGTGTCTACGCAGCTAGATCACCCACACTATCCCTCTTCCGTCGGGTGGGGGGGGCCCCAATGTTCGCCGCAGGCCGGTCCGGTGTTTCGAGCTGACCTGTACGCTCCGGTCGGCATCCGCCACTGTTTCACTTTCGCTGGGACCGGCATTGCATTATGGAATGCCACCTTTCCCCCCATGCCCTCAGTGCCAGGTGCTTGCCGATCCCCCTTTGCCCATGGGCCCTGCCGACCAGTTTCGCTGCCTCGGCGTTGGTCTCACAGGGATGAGTGTCAAAAAACAATTATTTTGGGGATCAACGAACATTTATTTAGGGGATCAAAAACAAATTATTGAGACCAAGTCTCCTGATTTCCTGGTTTCCTGGTCTCCTGGTCTCCTGGTCTCCTGGTCTCCTGGTCTCCTGGTCTCCTGGTCTCCTGGTCTCCTGGTCTCCTGGTCTCCTGGTCCCATGTCTCCCCGCTGGTCTGTTGGTTTCCTGGTTGTCGTGGTGTCTCCTGGTCCTCTCCTGGTCTCCTGGTCTCCTGGTCTCCTGGCCTGCTCTCCTACCCGAAACCGACCCTAAACCCTAAACCAACCCAACACCAACTACATTAAACCGACCCTGCGCAACTTTTACCCTAAACCAATCCTAAACCCACCCTAAACCTACCCTAAGCCAACCTAAAACAACCCTAAACCCAACCTAAGCCTACCCTGAACCAACCTAAATCCGCCCACCGTAAACAAACTCTAAACCATCACCCTAAACCCACCCTAAACAGACCCTAAGCCAAACCTACACCCACCCTAAACCAATCCTAAGCCAACCCTAAACCAACCTAAACCAACCCAAACCCACCCGAAACCCAACCTACATTAACCCTACACAACCTTAAGCCAACCCTACAGGCATTTAACCGGTTCTAGATTCGTTGATAGAACTGCGCTTGTAGTTCGAACTGGAGCTGCCAAAGTGACCTTCGCGTGCTGCGCTTGTATTGGAAAGTGTCTATTTTGCAGCTGCCGTAAAATGCGCGCGCTGTTGCCCGAAAATGATGTAAATTACAGCGTTTTGGCACCCCCAGGCGAGATAATTTGCTTTTGCTCCGGTAAATAATTTGTTTTTGATCCGGGTGTCGATAATTTCTTTTTGATCCCGTATTTTTTTTTATCCTGCACCCGCCCCACCGCCGGGTCTTTCCCTGCTGTGCCATGTTGGGGCTCCTGTAGACCCACCCGGGTGGTGCGCATTTTACGTGTGGCTGGCCCCGCAGAAAACAGAATGTTGGGCCGTTGGTTAGAGTTATTCCCCCTTCAGTTCTTCCCTCCCTTTTCGGCATTATCTCCTCGAGCCGGAGGGCAGGGTTAGGCTCATGTTTACTCGGGCGACATAACTCAGTCATGTTCAAGCCAACATGGCATGGACGATATGTAGACATGTTTCATTTGTAATGCCCCTCATTTGCAACCTGTTTCGGGGACGGACGCTGCAAAGGCAGGGTGCTGCATCTTGGGCGCCCTGGATTGTAGATGCTCAAATGCGTGCTTGTTTACGCTTTAGCTGTTGATCGGTCTCCGATTCAGTTCTTCAAGCGTCCCAAATGAACGTGAGAATCGGCTTGGGGGCTTTGGATTGGGATGTTGTGGCTTGGTCCCCAAGTAGTGCCCTTTTACCCTTTTGTGGGGGAGGGTTCCCCTATTAAAATAGACTACAGAAGGGGTGCCCTTATTCTCACCTCTTTACTGGAGGACCTAGGTGGGGCGACTTGGAATGGATTCCTTCCGGCAAAGACGAGCTGCTGAAACAGGTTCCCTGGAGTGGGTGGCCAAGAACGTCTCCCTCGTGAGCGTGGACACCAACACCATGGTGGCGACCTGTGAGACGACAAGCAACGGGGCGTATGCCATCTACTACAGGCAGCCGGGTGGGAGATATGTCCTATGAAGGGGGCCCACAACTGGTTGGTTTTTGCCGTTTAAAGGGGCAATTGAACATGTCCTTTCTCTGTTGGAAGCCTTGGGCGGGCTCCTGAGGGTGAAGAGGCGCTTTAGAGTGCAAGAGGTATGCTTCGTGAGACGGGAGGCCGGAAAGTGTTTTGGACATTTCCACCTTGTTCACTTTGCAAGCTGTGGTGCACAGGCCCACTCTCCACAAGGAACGGTAGTCTCCAAAAAGGGTGGGCGGCTGAACATAAACACCCTAAACCCCACCCCCCCGAAGTGGCAAGCACCCCCCCAAGTTGAGGCACAGTTCAACCCTTGCGACTGGGGTTGCTAACGGCTGTTCCTGCAAACGGGGGGAATCCCCACCACTTCTTGGAAATAACAAAGACCCAGGGAGGTCGACCCCTCCAAAAATCATCGGAAAGCCGCACGCCGTACGTGCAAATCGCTGTCTGGGAATGGGAGGCAGCAGCTGCCGGAGCAACCGGAGGGCTCCCCGTACTTGGCCCTGGCCCTGGCGGTGCCGCTGGTGCTCCTGGGCTCCGGCCTCGCCGGAGGCGAGGGCTGGCGCTCGCTGGGAGCTGCGCGCTTGGGCGAGCTCCATGGAAGCGGTGCGGTCTGCCCCCGAAAAAGACCGGCCGGAAAACCAGCCGAATCGAACAGCCGCTCTGGAACCAGTCTGATTTCCAGTAACTGTTGTGTCTATCTTGTTTTGAGGACACACCTTTGGCCCTTTTGGAGTCGTTTGAAAGGGAGGCCAGCAGAACACTCAGAAACCAACCGTTGTTGGGGGGTCCCCTAGGAAAGGAAGAATCCATTTCGGTGTTTTCTTCCACCTTGTGGACCTGGCCCCTTTGAACATTGGTTGAAACTAGAGGGCAGACTCGTTGCAAATAGGTTCTGGATTGAGCATGACCGAGGCAAATTACTAGGTGGTGTATGTTGGTACCGTACCCCAAAACGTATGGCTGGCCTATGGTTGGTCCCCCAGTTTAGGGGAATGCATGCTTTGTGGGTTGCTGGCTGGATTCATGCCTTGCTCCGCCTAACTCTGGTTGGACCTTTGACCTCGAAGAAATCTGGGAGGACGGGGTTTGTTGCTTGAGAAACAAAAAAAAAGGCCTTCTTCTGGAGAAATGATTTTGGGGACTTTTGGGCCTCTTTTGGCGATCCATGTGAATTTGCAGGGGGGGCAATGAACATAGAAAGGCTTAATGGCATCCCGCCCCCCCCTCCCTCCCTTCGGCCCCTTCGGCCCCCACTTTCTTGGGCGAAGCGGCCGTGGCTCTGGCAGGCGCTATCTATTACATGCGCAAGCAAGCCATTGAGAACAGGATTTTGAAGAGCAAGAAGAAGGCGCGTGCATTGGCGAGTTTTTCGAATGGCCCCGGTATCCGGGACTGAGAGTCACCAACAGCAGCACCAATTCTTGAACAGCATGAAGGCAACTATATATTGGGATGTTTGGCCCTGCCGGTGAGTGATTTGCCAGCGCTGGTTCTAACCAAGTATCCAATGGTTGTGGGATCCCCTTCGGCACATCACCAAGCAGAATCCTTTTGAGCGTCAATGCTCACGACATGGCTGATCCACTCAACAAGTCTTTGATGGAGTCGATAAGGCAAAAGAGCCGCACTTCAAGTCGTTAAGAGGCGATTAGCTTGTGATTTTGGGTCCCGGGCCTTTGCGGTTGGGCATGCGGCTTGGTTTACCTATTGGCAAACCAGGAAAGACTGCCGCAGCTATGTTTCACCGTGGAAGCATGTGAGATCTGGCCAATATTACAAAGTTATGAGGGTTCAGCACGCCGTCCCTTGAATCGATGGCAGTTCCTGTTGACTGAGCCATGATCATGCTCAGGGGAGGTTTGACCTGGTTCCCCACATGCCCTCACATATCCACAGCCTGAGGTGGGGTCACTGGGGCTACTTCGCTAAGCTGAACAGCCAAAAGGCTTTTAAAGGAATTAAATTTACAGAGTTCCTGTCAAGCTCCCTCACTTGCTGGTGCTCAGTCAGGGAAGGAACCTGGGGACGGTTGAAATCAGGGTCGTTCCATGTCTTACTTTCTGCCGATTTCAAGCTGTGAGGCAATTTGCTGAATTGGAACTGAGGAACGGGATTGAAGAGATGTTCTTAGCTGGCTGACAAAGTCTGCTTGGGTGTTAGACCAACTTGTTTTTTACTTGCGCCCTTTTTTAGGCATACCCCTTTTTGTTGGTTGGCTTTACAGGGGAATCAACAGGGAACGCCGTTGCACCATTTTGGGGGGTCCAAATCCTAAACAACAGACTCTCTGCCCTATGGCTCTCGGTTGGGTTTTTTGTCCGGACCTTGAGCCCCAGACCCAGCGGCCAGGTCCACCCCATCGAGGACTCCAAGGAGCTGCATGAGGTGATCACCGAAGATCCGCCAGGCGCCCCCATGGCCCCCCCCCCCCCCGCTTTGGGGGGACCCGGCAGGCGCACTGCCCCAAGACTAAGCTGAACCAAAACTGGAGGGGGTTGGGGGGGGGGGGATGGTATGTTTGATTCGGGAGTGGTAGTCAAAACGGCAACGGCTTCGTTGCCTCATGAAGTGGGACAGTTGAATGCAAGGGCAACACAGAGGAAAGAAGGGCGTTTGGATGCAACTGCAAGAGACAGGAGCTTTGCGTGCAAAATCGGGGAAAAAACGATGTGCTTTGGCGCGCTGACCGCAGCCGGGGAGGCGGCCCCGACGCCGACAACAGCGGCCGCCATGCCGACGACCCCAACGCCGTGCCAGGCTGGGGGGGGTTCGTGTGCGGCCAGGCCCCTGATTGCAGAGACCAGTTGGCAGCGTTGTAACTGGAGAGAGACCAGAAGTCATGGTAACTTGGATGCAACTGCAGGGTGAAGTCAAGCTATCACTCAGCTACTGTGGATGGACGAAATTCATTTCGCACCGCTTTGAATCCATGGTAAATTCATTTCGCACCGCTTTGAATCCATGGTTGAGGCCATGGTTTGTTGGTATTTGCAGGAGAAAATCATCCTTCCGGGCTTCTTAGGTGCAGGATTTCATCGCTCAGCTGTCACCCAACAGCTTCAGCCAGGTTTCCAGGCCACTACCCGAGGCTGGTTGCGTAAAATGGGACACTCAGGCGCGCCCATGGTGGCCTTCGAGCGGGGGGCCGAGCTTTCGACTCGGATGGTTGAAGGAAATGCCCAGGTTACACCGATACTTTGTGCGTTGAAAGTGCCGGGTTCAGGACGTCGTTGGCTCGCGAGAACCTCTTTGGAAGTGGTTTGCCTCGCAACGTTCGAATCCTCATGCGCATGTCTTTTTATGCGCGGCATTGGGCATTGGCCACCGGAAGTTGATTCTTGCAACCCAGGGCCTTCTGGATCTAGGCGCCTTGTTTCTTGAGGTGGCATGCGGCCCCTGGAATTCCTCTCTGCTTCGGCTTCGAGTCATGACATGACGTTCCGGCCCCTGGGATTCCGTTTGGGGGTCCAGCCAAAGCCCCCCCCCGCCCCCCGCCCTAGCCCAGCCTTTGAGCTGTTCGCCCCAAGGGCGCCCAGCGCGATCACGGCACTGCGGCGACAGAGCTACGGGGAGGTGCAGCACCCGCCCCTGCCGCGGCAGCCGCGACTCGACGACTCGACACAACCCGGTTAGGTTGGGTCGCGGTTGAGGCCAACGAGGTCCAGGTGTGTGGAACTGCGAGGAACATGTGGGGACGGTGGTTTTTTTGGGCGCCCTCGTCACCTTCAGGGGGAACCAGAAGGAAACCCCACCGTCTTGGGGTCACCCCGTTTTTCACATATGTATTTTTAGATGTTCCCAGGGCACATTTTTGTTTGTGAGCACTGGCCCCTGCTCAAAAAAGAGATCCAACTCTTTTCTGCCAGGGCGACTTGGGCAACTTGGGGATTAGAACCCTCCGTTCCTCCACCAAATGGCAAGCCTCCAAACCGCCAAACCAAACCAGCGAAGTGGAGGGGGATTCATTTCCACGGTCACGCCATCCCTTGCCCCCAAAGATGCCGATGTCCCAAGCTAATTTGTCCTGAAACGCCACGCGTTTCTTTGGGCTGAGGACTACTGGCCTCGACCGAGCGCGGGAGGACCGCCCACGGCTGGATTTGGAGACAGGCGGGCTGTTTTGATTTTAGAGGCCACGACTTGTGGGAGTCGAGCAGGAAGAGATGGAGCTTCGTTGTCAGATTTGACTCTCTTCTCAGCGTTTTTGTTTTTCTTCTTCTTTTTAATATATATATATATATACTTGACTGCTATTGGGTTGGATCTTTAGACTTTAACTTTTGGGAAATAAAGGGGTTTTCCACCAAACACCCAAAAAGTTAAACTTTTTGCAGGGGGCTCAACAGCAACCAAGTATATAATTTGCGATTGCCGGGCTCATTGACGCCATGGGTGGGAAGATGGAGGCTCGAATCAAATGCAAATGAGGGCAACGCTGTTGATTGAGTTTCTTTTTCCTTCACATGAAGGCAGGTGCCAAAACAGAAATGCATATCTGCGGCTTTGGTGAATTGTATGGTGGTGGCTCTTGTTGGCTGGTGATTTGCCTCGTTCTTTGGGCAAGGAACATGCTTTTTGATGTCTCCTAGCGGCCTGCAATCGCCCCAAGTCCTTTCTTTGGGAAGCCAATTCGGGTTGCAAGCGAGAGCCGAGGGGTTGCCAACGTTTGAGCACTCCGGGGGGGGTCCCCGAACACACCACGCACACATATACTGTTCTTAGATACACATGCAATACATCGTCATATGTCCACAGAAAGCGCTTCAGATTCATACCCTGCCTGTTACACACAGAAAGCCGAGCGCAAGGCTGGACCTTGCCATCAGCCCTGGAGCCCGAGTCCCCGGAGTCGCCGGAGCACCCGTCGATGCCGGAGCCATCGGAGCCGCAGCAGTCGGGTTTGGGGTCGATGACGGAGCCGGCGCCGTCGCAGACGCTGCTCCCACCGATCCCGTTGCCGCGGCTTGGTTGCGTGGGGCGTGGGTGGGGGTGGGTGGGTGGGGCACGGGAGTTGGGTGGTGTAAGACAGCGAGAAAGCAGTGGGTCCACTACAGCTCGCCTTTGATTTGGGGACTGGCGGCAGTTACGAGAAGGTGTACGTGGTGTCCAAGAATGTTGCTGAGTATTTTCCAATTTGGGAGGGTGGGCTTGGACAGACCAGATGCTTCAAGGGGTGGGGGGTTGGAATTCCAAAGCCGCGGGATTTCGGGTTCCTGGATGACCACCATTCTGCAAACCACTGCTATGAGCCGCAAAGCGAAGAAACGCCTCGATCGGCGCCGAGGAGCCACGAGGCTCACGACCGGGTCCACATCCAGCCGGCCAGGATCATCCGCAGCAGGCGGGCGGAAAGCGAGAGAGAGGGGGCCGAGAGACGCCGCTGGTTGCCGGTGCCCGGAGGTTGGCGGGAAGTAGGGCTTTGATGGATGTCATGGGCTGGAGGGCTTTTGCTTTACAAGGGAAGAGCTTTGATATGAGCAGCCGGTGAACACGGGCTCGACTTCTTTCAGGTGTTGAGAGCGGTCTTGTGTTGACTCTTTGGGATGGTGGCTGTTTGTTCGCGCTCTTGTGAGGCGTGTGCTGCATGCCCGTCCTGTCAGAGCAGTTCCCCTATTTATGGATGTCTGTGTTCCCAGATGTTTGTGTTAAGGATTCTGAACGCCGACCCAATTGTTATCCGCGATGGCTTGCTGATGTTCCCCTGCCACGTGCGTGGAACGCGAATCCACAGCCAGGCTCGCGCAAATACGCCAGTGCCCTCTGTTCAAAGGGGAAAGCTTATCCGGCGATGAGTTTTAGTAAGTACGGAACCACCTCACAAGTGGTTGGTGGACTGTCAATTGTGTCCACCAAAGGGTCCCCATCTACGGGGCGGCCTCTCGCTGAGGAGCAACTCCCGCGTCTCCTCCGCGGAGCGGTCCCAGCAGCCGGAGCTGCCGGGAGCAATGCCAGGACCGGCAGCGCATGTGGTTTCCAAGCGGTTGCTAACGTGGCACGAAAGCATGGGCGAACGCAGCCGCTAAAACGTTCTACAATTGGCGAACACTCCGTGAAGCAGGGGCCACTGGACCTCCCCGGAAGTCTCAATGTTGGAGGGTGAAAGAAGGGAATCGGTCGGAGCCCTGTCAAACCATGTCAAACCCAGCCTTAAGTCGCAAAGGCCTGGAAATGACCGGCTTGCCCTTCAAAAGCTGTGCGAAAAGACGTCAAGGTCACCCGTACTGTAGGGGACATGCAAAAGGGCGCCCTGCACGTTGCCGGTTTCCTGGATCCTTCATCATCCCGGGGAAAGATGGGGAAACTTGCTCCAAATAAGCAAGCCAATCAGTCAGCCAGCCAGCCAGTCAATCGCTCGGTCAATCAGTTAGTGAGTTATCCCGTCCTTCTTTTTCTTCTTTGTTGTCTCGGCTCGCACATCCTGAAGAACCAACGTACTATTCCCCCCCCCCGCCTTTTGTGAATTGCGATCTTACAAGCGAGGGCCTAGGCGAGGCGTGACACAGTTGCCAGGAGGAGAGAGCCCGGAGAGCCCACCGGTGCACACCCAAGCGAGGCGGTCCAGGTGCGAGGGCACGGGATGGTCCGCCAAGTGCACCTTATTTTGGCTCGAAATGTGCCTTTTGGGCCTGGTGGCTGAAGCTCGATGTGCTCACATGCACCTAGGCCGCTTGTGAGCACACCCTGCGACCCATTCGCATATATTTCACCGCATGCGAAGGCATGCGGCATGGGCTTCTTGCGCATTGCGCTTGGCTGTTGCACTTTGAGAAGTTGGGGAATTCCCGCCATTTGCCCAGCTCAATCCCAGCGACAGGTCCCGGGAACCTGCCACCACAGTGCGCCTGGTGCGGCGCAGCAATGCCTCATCATCGGCCGCAGGCGCGATCTAAATCAAATCAGTTTGCTGTGAGGCTGAACGTGACATCCGGATTTCACAGTTTCTATTTTCCCCGCAAAAGTTTACGGCTAAGACCTTTGATCCTCATGATCCTTTGACATCCTTTGGCCGCTTCATCGAGCGGACAGGCGCGGCGTCGACGGCGCCGGCGGCGCCGTCCGACGCGGGGTCTGCGCCGTCCACGGCCTCAGCGACAGTGCGGGTGCAAGGTGCGAAGGGGCCGCCAGGGGCGGTCGGGGGCGGTCGGGGGCGGTCGGGAGGCGGCGCTTGGAGATGGGAGGAGGGGATGGGAGGAGGAAGGATAGATTTCAACAAGCTTGGGTTGGTGCACAGATCCCTTCTTGAAGGCTTTGTGAGCTTCCATGTTGGGTGGGAGGGTGCCAGGGTTGCGGCAGCAAAGGAGGGTTTGGAACATACGGTTCATGTGGCGCGCGCACCGAAGCGAACGGGGTGCAGAGGCAAGTACATTTTGGGGACTCGAACTGGGAGAGTTTCTGTGAGCGATGGACGGTAGACAGTTAATTGATGGTTTGGATTGGTTTGGATTTGGATTGGTATTTGAAGCCCTGGTTCCTGTAGAGGATGCAAGGGAATTTACCTAATTTAAGTTACCCAATCCAAACAACCAAACAATCGGGCTCCAAACCAGCAAGAATGAAGCTGACTTAAGCTTCCATTTGCTTAAGAATATTTTTTCTCCTGTTGGTTTTAAAGGGAACAAATCCCTACTGGACATATATTTTCCCCAGGGGTCTCAACCAAATGCAAGTAAGACCAATGCTAGGCCGCGTGGAGAAGCCCAAGATCTACGCCACGGCGCGGGTGGTGGCCACTCGCTCGGGTGGGGAGAGTCGCTTCTGGCGGGGGGTCTGCGGGGAAGTGGGCATGCCATGCCAGAGCGACAACCACTTGGACCATACCAGGATTTCTTTCATGTCTAACAGCTGTTTCACTGCAGGTGCGGCTGTAGCACCTGCTGCTTTCACGCCCGTATCAACTTGCACAAAGGAAGCTCGTCCCCTGCAGCGAGCCTGCGGGCTGCGGGGGGGTGCGGCGGCTGCCGGGGGGGGGGGGGGGTTTGGGGGCTTGGAGTTGGCTGGCGCAGGTTTTTGTTTGTCTTTGCCAGTTTGTCAGTGTCAGAGTTTGTGGTTGCGATTCCGTGGCCGGGTCGCGGGCCCATCTTTGAATTTGTTCTTGGGCACCGGCCAAGGGAGATGCAAGGCACGTCAGGATGCCGATTTTGCGTTTCACATCAGTTCAGGCCTCAGCAGCATTCAGATTTCTGGCCACGGCCCGGCCAAGGGACACGCCATCTAGCCGTCCGCAATCTTGAGGACTCCCCCATTGCTGCTGCAAGAACCTAGCTAACAAGCTACCAAACAATCAAACCAAGCCGCTCAGCCACCAAGTGCCAAGCCACCAAACACCAGGCCAAGGCCAAGCAGAAAGCTTGAAGCCACACTCGTCCGCCAAGGCCTCCCGCAGCACGAGCCCCGCCCCTTGGCCGCGGATAGGAGTTGATGTGGGCCCTGTGTCAAACAAATCGGGGGGGGGGGGGCACCAGCAAATGGCGGCTTTCTTTTGGGCCTCTCTGAAAAAAAGCAACGTTGAACCAGACCCAGACCTGTGCGCTTGGGTAAAAATCAGGGAACCCTTCCAAACATTGGTGATTCAACTTTGGCATGGAGGCGGCTAGCCTTTGTGGCTTTTGCATGTTGTTCGGCCCTATTTATTTTGCTGGGGGTTGATTGTGCTCTGGCCACCTTGTCAGACAAACGACCCTTTACTTTCAGGTCAGCGTTGCATGGATTTCGTATGTTTACCAAGGCTCACGGCCAGTAAGTCAACTTCCCCCACGCCGCCCTTTGTTCTCCCAAACCGCGTTTCCCCTCGGAGTTGCCAGCCTTGGGAGGTGGGCTTGCCTCCCTTGACCCCAGAAATAGAAACACTCAGTAGGGAATGTGAGAAGGAACCCAGAGATTCCCTCAAAGCAAAAACAGAAGGCATTCCATTTCTCATTCTCGATGCAAGGGTCATTCCCTCTTTCCCTCGCAAGTTCTCCCGTGTTCCCGGTGGGCCAAGTCCGGCACGGAGGCCAAGGGGGCGCGGCGGGCCTCCAGCGAGGCGCCGCCTCAGCACCAGGCGCGCGAGCTGGCAGCTGCGTGGGTGGGTGGGTGGATGGGTTGGTTGGTTTGTGGCTTGGGATTTGGGAGTTGTTGAAGCCCACCTTGTGTGAGCTAAAAAAAATGGGGGAGTTCAGTTCAGCTAAACCACCAAATTCACCAAATGGTTTTGGCCAAGCTGCTACTAAACAACTGGGGGAGAGAGACCCCTAGGGTCCAAACCAGCCAAACCACCAATTACTTGGAGGGCAAGGCGACTTGAACGGCGAAAGTCGGCTTGGACATGGGGAAAGTCAAGTCTGCCTGTGTTATTGCGAGCTCACCGGTTCGGGGGTAGAAAAAGCGAAAGCCATGAGAAAGGCCCTTGACTTGGGGATCCCTTTCTTAATTCAGCTGTTGAAGCTATAGTGCAGTTTGCAGAACCAAGACCCAAGGTCCAAACCAGCAAACCACCAATGAGAGGTGACTTGAACGACGAAAGTTGGCTTGGCCACGAGGAACATCAAGTGTTTCAGTTTCCACTGGAACTCCTATGCCCGCCAGGCCTTCAGCCTCAGCCCAGAGCGGCGCGCCAGCCAGGAGAGCACAGCAGCATGGCATGGGAGGTAGGATCGGCTCTCCGGTTGAAACGCGCTCCAAACCAGGGGCAACCGGATGGCGCCAGAAGTCAGAAGTCACTCGGTTTGGGCGCTCGGTTCTTGTGCTAGTCCAGGGCAGAGTTTCTACGTACAGATTGCAAGCAGGCAAGCGAGTGTCGAGCCTTAATCTGACTTTGATGTCGCACGCTCAAACTTAGATGTGCGGTCTGAACGCCTGCCCAACAAGGATTGGGGCACTCAGTGACGTAGGCTGAACCCCAAGGAGCAATGGCATTCAACCGCTCGGTTCTCATGTTGAGACTCCTTGTCCCACATGCGCATGGCAGGTTTGCACCCATGGGTCTTGTCGCCACAGTTCCCGAAGCATTGCCGGGATTCGCGGCTGCCCATTCACTTTTGGCCTAAAAAACAGTCCTGTACGTATGCCACCTGCGTGGCTTTGGAAGAAGGTACGTGTAAGGGGCCGGGTTCTTTGTGCATGCGTGAGCCACATGGTCGAAGCAGGGATTCTGAGCATCATTATTGGGAAGGAACCCTCTTCGTTCCGTTCCCCGTTTCTGGGTTTCCACCGGAATTTCGGCAACTGTGTTGTCTTCTTGTTTCCTTAAGGATACTCTTTGTGGAATGGACGCCAGCAGTAGACAACTCATGTTGAGGGTTCCCTGTTTAGAGACAAGCTCAAATCACCCTGGCGGAAAATATTCGGTTTTGTTGTTTTTTTGGGGCCACTGCCCAACATGTTGATACCTTTTTGGGCCCTGCTTTCTCTAGTTTTGAAATCTCCTTCCCTTTTGTTTTGGATTTCCTGTTAACATGCGGGAAAACTCAAGGCAACCTGTTGCCTTTTGGAACAGGCGTTCAGGGGTTTGCAAGTGATAAGATGTGAGCTATGGGGCGGCGAACTTTTTTGTCCCACGGCCATGCCCTTTTGCCCTTTCAACATTTTCTCATTCAACCCTCCAAATGTCTAACCATCAAACAGGTCGCTTCTTTGCAGGCGGAGGACAAAAAAAGCAACACCTCCGCCAAAGATGGCTTGGTGCACCCTCCCGCCGCAGAAAAGCCGCGGGCGCCCAGGCCGTCGGCTCCGAGGCGGCGTCCTCCAACGCGGGGTCTTCGGTGGTGCGGGCGGTGGCACGGCGGGTGCGGCCCTCCAGCACGGACGGGAGGGCGCACCACTGCCGCGCGGCTGATCCACGGAATCGTCGACGGGGTGGGAGTTCTTTCGACGCGATTTGCAGCGAGGCGGTGTGCTTTTTGGAAGGGAAGCCGAGGTGAAAGCAAAGGGGCCTCGCTCATTTGGAGGCAAGCCAGTTTGCGGGCCAGGTCCAAAAGGAACCGAGAAGAGAGAAGTTGCTGAGACTTGTGACCAGGAACCAAATACCCCCATGAGCAAGTGCAAAGTGATAGCTTCTGAGGTTCCTGTTGAAATCGCCTAGGCCTATGCATATCTTTCATGGAAGCAGGGAGGCGGCCAGCTTGACACTCTCCCAAACATGAAAGTTAGACCCCGTTGTTTTAGTGACCCTTTCGGAAATGGAGCCTTTTGGGTTTGTTTGAGCTTTGCCGCAGTGAAGGATAAAAGCCCGGAAGCGCAAACATCAATACAAAGCAACACACTGGCATGGGTGATCCACGGCATCCATCGGACCATGATATAATTGTTCTGGCTGTTTTTGTGACCGCAGCCGCCGATGCCAAGCTCATTGGCCACATCGAGCACACGGCCAACTAGGGACATACTCAGACGTGACGTGCCTTTCCTTGCAGTTCTGTCCGGGCGCATTTTGCCAAGACTTCTCATAAGTGTGGCCCAAACGACAAAGCTTCCGCCAAAGTTGCCCCCCTTCCCCTTCGACGTGGCCAAGGCGTTGCGAAGCTGAAGAAGACGGACGCCACGCTGTCGCCCATCGTCTCGCCCCAAGCGCCGCTTGGAAGACACCGTCCCCCACGCCGCGAAAGCGCGAGGGGTGGAGCTGGGCTGAGCTGGTGGCTTTTGCGGGGGCTTGTTCTTACTCTTGTTTGTGTGCTGCCTTTTGGGTCAGGAGTTGGACCAGGATTGGAGTTTCCCAGAAAGCGCCAGGTTCCCCTGGTGCATGTTTGTTGCAAGATGCAGCTAGCAGACCAGTGACCGTTGGGACAAGCTCGCAGCAACTCGATCTTTTTCCAGACAGGTGACTGAGTAGTTGGCATAGCGAGGCAACCTGGACAATGCGCACGCGGTCTTTACTTCCAGACCTGCCATGCCTTCTGTTTGGTACTCAAACGGGTTGTTTCAGGGCGACATAGTTCAGGCGTCTGCAGATTGGCTTTCATGCGCACTGGCAAGGCTAGTAAAAGCTGTTGTCCACAGGCAGGTTCGTCACATTGCTACAACCTGGGTGACCCCGTTCTTGTTTCTTTCTGGTGGGGCCAAAAGCTTACCTCCCCTGACTGGTTTGATGTCCTATTTTTTCTTCTCGAGGTTAGACTCCATTTGTGTCGCAAGCCTTGGGGCAGCGATGCTGCGCCACTGAGGAGCCTGGTGTCGCTGCCAGTCCTGCTGAAGGCATCCGGCAGCGTGTCCCTTACGAGCACCTTAGACTAAGCGACTGGGCGCCTGGATCCCACAGGCCGGAGTGGCGACTAGCTACGACTCACACCCTTTCGTGTTTGAACAGCTTCGTTTCCATGTTTGCCTCTTAAGGTTGGAGCGTCTTCCCGTTGTGGTTGCCTTTTCTTTTTGTTTGTTGGGGTCATTGAGGAATGAAGTTCAACAAAGAGACTTTCACCAAAGTTCAAGATGTTCAAGCTAAACTCCGCCTCGGGCGCCCAGGCCCTCGCCAGTTCGTGGGCAAATCTAATTGCACCACGAACGTGTGGACCACGTGGATTTAGTAGGAGTCTTGAAACAGCACTGGTCAAGGGCTAATGCTGCCCTTGAGGACGGAAAAGTGGAGATGGGGCAATGAAAGGCCTTTGCCAATCACATCGCATAGCTCGCCCATGCTCGCTACAGCGTCCTATGATAAGCTTTTGGTTCCAATCGCGAACCACGGGGCCGAATCTCCAAGAGATTCGCGCCGACGCTGGCCATCCGTTTTTTTTCCCTCCGAAGATTGAGAGCTGCGGGGGAACAGCACATGGACCCAGCGATGCCGGGCCCCGTTACAAAGTGGAAGGGGCTGCAGCCAGGGGGCGTCAGACGAGCGGACTTGGCTCAACTTGAGACGGGCACCTGCGACTTGGAAGGCCTCCCTTTTAAGGGGCGTGTCGTACATGTTTGCATGCTCTTCAGTGGGTTTCCCGTACCACCTCAAGCCTCAAAAACACGATTTTTAGGGGAGATCGAAGGCAAGAGCTCTGATCTCCCCCTTGGAGCGTGATTCCTTTCCACGCATGTTTGGACCGCGCCACTTGGGGGTCTTCTTCCAACCCCTATCCATTTTTTGACTTGCATTGTACCTTTTGGTTTTTGGGTCCCCAACAAAGACAGGCCGGGGATTGAACAACAGGGTTCCACGACGGGATGATGCGTGTTTTTTGGAAACAACTATTAGAGATTGGAGGGCGTAATGCACATCGCCATGATTTGCAGATTTTTTCGGACTGACGCCCTTTGGGCTTGCAGGGCATGTCTGGGTAGGCCCGTGCAGAGCTGCCGTCAAGCTTGCTCCCACCTCCTTCATTGGCAAAGGCCAGATTTGGCAAGTGACTCAGCTCTGAGGCCGCCTTGTTTATATTGGGTTCGGGTTTGAATCGGAGCTCGAGCTATTTGCCTGGCTGGGCAACGGCCGCAAGAAAAATCCAGCTAGCATAGCTGGGCCAGTTCTTTGACCAGCCAGGCTGCCCGCTCCGTGTCGAGTTTTGAAGGTCAGCCAATGCCTCGAGAGACACGTCGATCGCCCCCTGCAGCGCGGCGCCTTTCGGGCCACGCAGAGCCCGGCAGTCATGTCGGCGCGCAGGACGTTCGCCATGTGCTGAGCCCTTTGGCTGTGCACTGGCGAGCGTGGCGACTGCCACGGCGACCCCGGAGAAGGGGAGGAAAGGTCCAGACCGAGAGGGAATGCTTGGCCTTTAACAAGCTAGTTCTGCAGGTTTCCCCCCCCCCCCAAAAAAAAAAACAAAAACATTACGCGCCCTGATGTACGAAAATCAAGCATGTTGCACGTAGTGATCTGTTACATGCAACAATTCCTCCCTGCACCCGTTGCAGACATTCAGAAGGCTAGATTGGGCCTTTGTGTTCTGAAGCCTCGTGGCATGTTGGCACAAACTGCTGATCGATGTTTTGGCCCGCGCAAGCCGAAATGACCAAGGCACTAGAATAGTGGAAGTTGGCAGCGAGCTTTGTGTGGCGCAAGGGGCTGGGGAGCATCCTCAATTGCTCGTGGTTGCGAGTTCTGCCTTCTCAAAAGGTGCTTGTGTTTGGGAGTGATGCCACCCATCAACCACCAAGGGGAATAAATGACCCAACTTCAGGAAAGTGAGCATGTTTTGTTTCTTGAAAGCTCTTCGCGGTGTGGATCTCATTTCGCCACCATTCAACAGGTACCTCTGATGAGAGCGGGGCCCACAAATTAGCGGTGCAATAGCCTTGGCATTGAGTTTGCGCGGCTGTATCCTACTCGAAGTGTCTGGAAGCCACGAGATGGAGTGTCGGCAAGGGACGTCCCCATTGGCAAAATCGCGGGAAGGTGGGTTATCCTCGCCCGTTGCCCTTGTCATCTTGTCATTCTCAGCTCTCTGTGTCAGATCCCTTGTCGCGAAGGAAAACTGGCGGCAGAGCAGTGGGGTTGACGGGCTGTCAAGAGTTCCGCATGCTGCATATCATTCGAGAGAAGCGTAGAGGGAGTCCCATGGACACACGCAACAATATATTTCAGACGACCAGATTGCGAGGCAAGCCGAACACCGATGCCACATACCCAGTAGAAGCAAGAGAAGTCAGTGGGTTGCGTTTCTCGGGATGGATCCCAAGTGACCCGAAGTCTCGGCTAAGCTCCGGATTTAGGCGCAAGGAATGTGACACCGGTGTGTTTTAATCGACTGAGTCTGATACATGAGATAGTAAACTAAAAGAAATGAACATAAAATAAAGAAAGATATAAAGTAGCAGTAGAAGTGATATTCTTACTTGTATTGTTTGATGCACCGGGGATCTCGATTTTAATTCTGTATTGATAAACAATGATCATGATCTACCAGATTCTAAATCTTTATTCAATGATAACGCTAGTACAGCAGCGAGACTTGCAACATGCTAAACACGTGCACCAAGGCGTGCAAACCGAGGGAAAGCCTGAAGCTGTTTCTCCGGGCTTTTGGTGGCCGCGCTTGGATCGGCACTAGCGGATCAGCAAGGTATGATCATGGTATGTAGTCAAAGCTTTGTGCACGGTCAAAGAGGTTTGCCATGAAACGCGAGCAGCGACGTGCTTCCGGGGAGGGGGTTGTATACGTCGCAGGCTTCAATTCCGGTTTCTTTGCCAAGCCCGGTGTGGTTTGGCCTTAGCCGCGTCAGCAAAAGTAACAGCTGTCCCACATCCTTCCACTCCAGCGAAAAACAGCTTCCGGCTCAAGCCCTTGCTCAGCTTGATGTTATCCATGCCTGATCCTCTAGGCATCGTGGTTTGCCACAAAGCGTGTTGCATACTTGCAACCCACAGTGTCACAGGCTTGTAGGCAGACCGTCGCATAGACCCGGTTTATCTGAAAGGGTTTTAGACCAAAACATGCTTCCATGGGAGCTCTCCCCTTCAAGGCACGAGGCCTGCGCAGCCTGCGCATGGGGCGGAAAGCTCATCCCATGCGCTGATTCGATTTGTTCGTTCGGCATCCCTGGGACAGGCTGTTGGACTGGAGGCAGCCACCTCGAGCCGCAAGCCATGGCCCAATGAGACATGAGGCAGAGGCGCGGCTTTCGAGGCATGCCATCTGTTCCTGAAATGGCTGCGGCACCGTTTCTAGCCGCGGGCCCAAAGCACGCATGATCCGAAAACTAGCTGCAGCAGGAGCTCTCAAAAAATATGTTCCTTTAAAAGGGGGCCGGGCCAGGGGGGGGGAGCTGGAGAACAAATGCTCGGTCTTGTCCGAAAAGGCACACGTCTTCTTATCGGTTCGTCGGATGCGGACGGAACCGTTCATTGATTTGGCTTGGTCCGCACGATCCCTCTTGGGACCGCAGGTTCCTGTGAAAGGCGCAGGTTCTTGGGACCACAGGTTCGGTTCCTCTTGAGTTCATCAAGCCCAGTTAATTCATAGGGGGGTGCTTTGTGGGAATCACCTCTTTTGGAGGGGCTCTATTAAACTGGGGTTGATGAATATGACCCCGGTTCGCATCCCTGACCTGGGACGAGCGAGACCTTCTCGAGGATGCTGGAGAGAGCGAGAGAGAATATGGGGTCAACATTTCTAGTTCTTTGGCTTTGAAAAGGCACAGGCTTTTGCCACAGGTTCCCTTTCAGTTGGACCCCATCCGATTACCAACGGCTGGATGTGCCCACCTGGGTCGTGGCATGAGGCGGGCGGCCGAGAAGCCTCCCGGGCCGCCTCCTGGGCGCAACGCCTCGCGGCGGAGCTGCGCTTCGGTGCCGAAAAGCGGAGGGGGCGGATGGGCCGGATGGGCCTCGGCCGCGCTCTTCTCAGAGCCACCGATTTGGTTATGATTTGGAGTTTATTAACACCTCGCATTCTTTTGTTTTCTCGGAGGCTCCAAGAAAAGTCCTCTTCAAGTGGTCGGTGGACGTAGCTCCCCATTTGAATGGTGTCCGTCAATACAATTCATGCCCGTTTCCCGCTTGGCAGGGGGCCGCCGGGACAGGTCGAAGTCTTCCACGAAGAGGCTTCTCAGGCATTTGCATGGTGAAACCAAGGTTTTCGCGCATTGGGTCCATCCATGCTATGTCTTGGGCGGGCTTCAAAGTATGCAACATATTTGCAGGCATCTAGATATGAACATATAGAATGATGCAAGTGTTATCCATACACATTTTAGCGCGGTAGGGCTGGCCCGCCCACGGCTTGGCCACCTTTCTTGGTGCGCTCATGCTCTCCACGGGGTTGCTTCACGGATGTGCTTCACGCCTGAAGTGTGTCAAGTTCAATGACCGGCCGTGGGCTTTGAGGGGCTTGTTCTTTTGGGCTTTGTCTTTTGGCTGCGCAGCAAGGTCCTTTTCGGCCCGCCTGGTGACTTTGGGCCGTGGAAATCGGTGGGTTGATCTTGAAGGTATGCCCAGCTAAACCCCCCCAAAAAGGCAAAAGGACGCTGGCTTGGCGCCCAGGCCTGCTGCGGCCCGTGCCCGTGGGGGCCTTGCGATTGCATGGTTTGGGCTCTGGCCAGAGAATTCAGAATCTAGTTCAAATCTGGTGCGAGCCTGATTTAAGCTTGCCTGCGCAAATCTAGTCCAAACCACCTGCCTTTGCACATATCCAAATTTGCTCCCCAACGAGATGTCCTACCCATAGCGGATTTTTGGAACCCATTGGGGGTTGCAGACAGGCCAAAGTGGGCCTGAGCCGATCGAGTTCTGAGCCGACTTGTTTTGCACTTCCAGCATTGTTGCCTTCACCACGTTCGTTTTGGTTGTTACTAGGTCCCCCAGTAGT